AGAGGAGAAAATGTACACAGCTGAGTTTAAAATGTTTCTGAACTGCCAAATACAAGGAAATGTTATTGTGTTTATTCTGAACTCAAAATAAATAGTTTCTGCTGAATTTTACCAATGTGACGATCAAAACAATCAATATTTAATATTACACTTTATTAACCAATATGGGGAATATTGCGAACAGCTATCACAAACTAAATATTTGACACTGCAATTTTTATGTGAAACTTTACTTTATTATTACATTCCTATTAAATATTAAAGTTTTTTTTTTTTTTCCTGTGGGACAAAGAATGAAATTAAACATTGTAAAATGTGTTTAAATGGAGCTTAGAGTGCTACAAATTTATCATTTTCTGAAGATATTAAATTATTTTACAAGAGAGAGGGAGTGTTCATAGTTTGTCTTAGGGGTCTTCAATGGAGGGTCTGCAACCCTATTTTTATTTTATAGTGTTGATTGACTGACTACAAAATAAAAAGCTAAAGATGTTCAGCTAAAATTGTATTTGTACTCCAACATTAAATAAAATAAAATGGATATTTTATTTTTAATACAATAATAGTTATTATCTTTGCAATATAAGCATCATATGTAAATACATTAATATGGTTATATATATGCATGGCCAGGCTTAAAGTGCAAGACTCAGTTTTATATAATATGTAAAGGGGGATCCATTCTCCATCTTTATGGACAGCAATGGTTGCTTGGCCATAAAAGAAGTTGAAGACCCCTACTTTCGCACCTTCAGTGCCCTCTCTCTATTTCTTTCTTTCTGAGTCTTAGGGCTGGTTCACACAGAACACATTTTTGCATTCCCTGTGCTGTTTTTTTGTTATTATTTGTATTTTTATTTAGACTTTTAAGGCAAGACACCACTGGTGCATATGGTTTAAAAATAATAATAATAATAATAATAAAAAAAAATATATATATATATAAAATCATACTTTCCCAGATGATTAATCACAATACATTAAAACAAATTGTTTGTATTACACATTTTCTGAAATGTTGTTTATATATGCAAACAAGGCATTATCTAATTAAATATGCACTATTTTGCTTAAATTTCCTTCCAGCTTAGAAATCTGAACATTGGATAAAGCCAAGTTAAGAAAGTGGGGAGGGATCATTTTGGGAAAATAGCTCTTGTTTTGTAATTGAAATCTAGAAACTCAGTTAGATGAAGAGTAATAAAATATGTGTATTTTGGATGTTTTCTTTTTTTACTAGTCCAAAACATGTTATGGAAGCCCAAAATGTCAAAATTGACCAACAGATTTCCCTGTTGTGTCTTAACTTAAAAACACGTCTCAATGTGTTTTAGGTGCAAGAACGCGTTCTGTGTGAATGACTTGACCTATACAGTGTATGTGTGTGTGTATATACACACACACACACACACACACTCCACCTCAGTTATGTGGGAAAAGTAGAGGCATGTACACAGGAAAATGAAAGATGCAATCAAAAGCCTCGGATGAAGACATACCTCTCTTAAACTTTTGTACATCATATACATTTTATCCTTAGATGTCTATCAATCTGTAATCTCGTTTAACCTTTCCAGTGTTCTCTCCCCCAGTATAAACATGCCTCTGTCCCTCTGCTCCATGTACATTTACTTCACCCTTCTGTGCGCTTCTGCGCTGCCGGCAACCTCAATGACTTTTTACAGAACATATATTGCTCCTTGTATGTCCCTGCCCACCAGAGACCAATACATGTGCGTGGATACCTCCCGACACCTTCAGCCATACCTCCCTGGCCCCTGTGCCCTAAAACAGGTCATGTGATGCAGGAGACCCTTTGACGTGCTTTTGTTCAGATTTGTCTGAACGGTGTTACAGGAACTAGATGTAAATGGTAGATTCATACCTCACCAGGGGCCGGGAGCTCCGACTGTCAGCATGGCTCCGGAGATCGTGTCTCTGGTGTGGCCGCAGGGATCTTGCAGCTTTTTTTTATTTTCCAGTATAGATCTATGAATATACATATATAAATACAAATCTATATATACTGTACATTATACATAGAAACACTAATGAAGTTTGATTGTTAGTTGTGCACTCACAGCATGAGATGTTATTCCCCAGAAACCTTTTTGGAAACCAATGCAGTAGCGTCTACTGATGTCAAAATACCCTTCACCCCACCCTGAGTACATGCCAGTGTTTCCTCTGTGTTCCAAGTGCCAATAACTTTGTGTATTCCTTCTGTGGCCCAACAAGAAAGAAAATTGCACATTACTGTAAAAACAGAAAAAGATAAACAAGAGAATACATCTTAATAAAAAAGATTTGTAACAAAGAAAATGATTGTGCTTTTGTTTTAATGTGTGGCTTAATCATTTATTTTAAAGAAGTTAAAGGATGGACCTTTTTCACATTTCCGGTTCTCAGAAGCGGAAGTCATGAGGGGCCGTTTTCGTTTTCAACTAAAAACGGACACGTAGCTAATCATGTTAGCTTCTTGCTAAAAACATGGGTTTTGGCTGTTCATTTACACTACAACGGCGTTTTACTCCTGAAAAGTAAACTTTAGAAATCGGGTTTCAAAGTTCAAGGTTTTGAAAATGATACAGTTGTCTCCATGTAAACTACAAAAAATACGAATTTGTGAAAACAGTGACCACGAATAAGCAGGCGCAATATTTTTCATTAGCGTTTCCTGGCGGTATTACCTGAGTTTTTAATCATTTTCGCGGATCCGTGTGAACAGTGGTGGTTTTAACGTTTGTTGTCGTCTGTACGCGAAAAAAAGCGAATGAAAGACTTTTCTGCTTTAAAGGGATAAGTTATTTCGTTTTGAAATTAATTTTTGTTATGTTTTAGCTTACCTCAAGGGGATCCAAGATGTAGCAGCTAGGTGTCTTTGTTTCCACAGTAGTTTCAATTTTGATATTTTTCGGTCTGCAATGCATGAGTCATAATGCAGCCAGGTTTAGGGTCCACCCTGGGTTCTTCTCGAAGAGCATGCACAGAGAAGTCAAAATTAAACATGATTTAATGATGACTCATAAATGTAAGTACACATTGATGGCCTATGACACGAAACGAGCGGTTTGTGTGAGAAAACGAACAGTATTTATATCGTTTTTACCTCCTGTTCCAACTGCTCTGAAGGCACGTGCGCTTCGGTCTGCGCATGCACCGGAAGTGATCGCTTGCGTGAGTACTTCACTCATTGTTTACACAGAGATTTCGGAAGTTTTATCTTTCATTAAACATATTTAGATATATCGAAGTCATCTTCCATTGCGATTTATTGTAAGTAACTTAGCTACATCGTTGACGTGTAAATGCAGACATGATGTCAAAATACTCTCTCAGCAGTTCTGTAAAAAAAAAAAAAAAACTCTGTAGCCACAATAATTCCTTTTTTTTTCAACAAAGGTAATATAAACATAACGGATAGCGTCATAAATGTGTATTCATTTTAATTGTCTTTTTATTATTATTAAATGAAAATATTAAAAACCTTACTGGACTTGCGACGTTGATAAAAGTAGGAAACGCACATCATCACAGTCCGTGAAAAGTGTCCATTAGATTTTATTTAGCTTGATATGCATCTTTACTGTGAAAATAAATAACAAATGCTGTGGTATATTTCCCTGCTACAACGTTATTCCATAATGTGGTGCGTGAAAATGACCTGGTAAAATGAAGGGCATGTCAAAGACAAACTTTATTCAGGGACCACTTGAATTTATCAAGATGTCAAAATAAAGGCAAAATTTGTATACAATACAAATGCTTACAAAAACAAGTGACAAGGGCATTAGACTTTTGAAATGCAATATTTATATGCAGGCAGCACTGAAAGACATTACTTTGCAAATAAAAGACAATCATATGCGTACCAAATCTCCTTAAAAGGGCATGTAAAAGAGGTAATACGTTTTAGTTCATTGTTCCACATTTTTTAATAGCAGTGAGTACTAAAATAGGTATGTTAAGGCTTAGAATTTATTAAAAAAATCTTACTTTTAAAGTTGGATCTGATTTTCAGTCAAGAGTTTATTTACTTAATCATATTACAAGAAACAAGAGAATACTGAAATGTCATATTCAGAGAGGAAAGCATTTATACTGAACATAATACATTCACCCACAGGCACCTAGTGTCTTAGATCAGAGGGCACACTGGATACATACAACTCATTGGCACGGAGGATAGCAGTACAAAATGTTCATTAGCACACCCACAGATGGGCACAATCTGAGCTCAAGTTCAGGAAGGGAAATATCAAGTGATGATACTAACTGTGGGGCCTGATCAGCTCTTGAGGGGATGTTGTCAGTTAATATAGCTGACTTTCAGTACATGCATCTTGCTGATATTAAGAGCAGTTAATAGCATTTTCCTTTGAAAAATAGTAAAATGACAAATATATATATATATGAAGAGTTCAGATGCAAAAGCCTCTAAATGCCATTTGAAATTTTATTTTTTAATGATTTTGATCAAACTTGTATATTTAAGTTCAGTAATTTCACTTAAATAACAATTAATAGGTAATCATCATTGCCATTTAAGTGAAATCACTGAACTTAAATATACAAGCTTGATAAAAATGATCATTCTAGAAGAAAATTTCAAATGGCACTTAGAGGCTTTTGCATCTGAACTCTTCATATATATATATATATATATATATATATATATATATATATATATATATATATATATATATATATATCATTGGAGTTATGGGAATATCACTTTGGCAAGCAGTGAAGGCTTAACCCAAACCTTCAACTGAGACAAAGAATGTCCAAATAATTCTATACACATCCCCACAGTAATATGAATAACTAGAATGATTACAGTAATAAACTTCACAGTCCAATGTACAGTAATCTCAAAATATGGGGAAACTCAAATATTACAAGAATAACCAAATCAAAGTCTAAAATATGGGAAAACCCATAAAAGTATGAAGATTCATGAAAAGTGCAGACAAATTAGATGATTTTTCTGCAAGCAATTTCCCATAAGCTCACTCAAATAATGCAATAAAATGTCAAATTTATCCATAAAGGAAAAGCAAACATGTAAAAAGCAAATATTAACGGTGTGACTTTGCTTTAAAACTATTTAAATAACCCTACATTTCTTGCTATAATTTCCATTTCCAATTTACAAATAATTTCCAAAGCACACCATCATAGTTTATTGGATGATTTCAGAGGTTTATATCATGACGTTACAGATCTAGTGGGCGCTATGAGCCTGCATTACTCATTGTGCTTGAAATCTGAATCAACCAATAACAACAACAACATTTAAATTGTTTAAATGTTTCATAATTGGTGAACATATTTATGGTCAATCTCTTTCAAGGGCATTTATAATGTACACACAATTACTATGCTGCTGTAAGAATCAAACATATAAAAATAAGGCAATATCAAATTTCTCATCCCCATATACTCTGTACCACAATAAAACATAAGAAATATAATAACTGTTAACTTCCATCTCAGCAATAGTGAAATTCTGGATTAGACCTTCCAGTCGACAATACGTCCAATCCAAAAGCAGCGGGAGAGAGTGAAATGCTGAGAGCCAGAAGACACATGGATTAGATGAAGGCAAAAAGATGAGAAAGGACTATAAAAAATAACTGGGATCTCTTTCTCACAAAGGATCATGGAAGCTGAGGAAGAAGCGTCATGGTAAAATTCTTCTGTAAGCTTTTGGCATGATAGAGGGCCAAACCGAAGAAGAGTCTGGTTTAAATGGCAAAGAACAAAATGAGCACCACGATCAGTATGATTACAAGAACTCCGATAGCACACCACTGTCTCCGACCTGCAACACACAAAACATACGATCCATCTCACACTAATCTCATGCTCGTTTCTTAGGCCTAACAAAATTAAGATAATTAAAGAAATAACGTGAGAACGTTTGAGAAAAAATTAAATGCTTCCTTTTATGTCAGTAAGATTTTTTCGTTCGCAAGTTTTATTCATAAAATATATTAAAATAAAAATATTACACTAAACACTTTTGCACTGTTACAAAAAAGAGGCTATTTTAAATAAACGCTGCTCTTTTTAACATTTTTATTCATAAAAAAAAGCAGCACAAATATTTTCAACATTGATAATCATAAGAAGCATTACACTGAAGATTGGAGTATTCTATATTTCTTTCTTTATTTTATTTATCTATATAGCACAATTAAACCACAACCATGTTTGAACCAAAGTGCTTTACATATAAAACCATAAATAAATAAATAAATGCAAGAAGACACGTAAATCAGTAATGATGTAATGATGCTCAACAGGAATAAGTTACATTAATTTAATTGTTTTTACTGTATTTTTGAACAAATAAATGCAGCCTTGGTGAGCGCAACATCTTTCAAAAACATTTCAGAAATACCAACCCCAAACTTTTGAATGACAAATATAATATCACAACATTTTAGGCTGAAATTACAAACATTTGCTGTGAATGATATAAAAACGCAAGAAGTAGAAGAACACACAATAAAGGAGTAAAAGCACTCACTGCTGGTCATGTGTGAAACCTTCTCCATTTTCTTCAACACTGAGTCCATTCTAGAACCGGTCTGGTCCATCTCCTCACTAAACTCCCCGAGCATACTAGGACAACAAGCACACATGGCAATAAAAACTGTATTGAGTATTAGAAAAATCCACATGCTAGCGTTTCTGTTTATTCTTCAATATCCTACACTGCCTGTTCATCCAGCTCGTCTCCTATCCTGCTAGACATGTCCTTCAGGACACGGATACTGCCTGTGACCAGCTCCAAGTGCTCATCCTGGTCCTGCATGATCAGCTGCACAGAAAGACAAGTCAAGAAAGTTATGACGTAAAACAAACAAAGAAAAAATATTTACCATTTTATGCCAATTGAAAATTGTGGTATTAAAGTTGCCATGAAATCAAAATGGACAATTCTTGTTTTTTAACATAAAACTGCAGTTTTCAAAATTTTTTTATTCATGTGCCCTTCTCAAATGATCATATAACACCAAATTTATCATCTCTACACTGGTTGCCAAGCTCCGTATCAATTAGAATAAAATATAAAGCCCCTAAAAAAAACTATAGCGCTTTACAAATAAATTTGAATTGAATTGATAACGTTTACTGGTGCGAGGGCAGAACAACCCGTCATTCACATGAGATCAACCAGTTGCAAACCACAACGATCCAACCATCAAATCAATTCCCAAATGACAAAATCAAGTCCTGCCCTACATTTTTTCTTGTCTGAGAAGCCGTTTACTCTGACGTTTACTCCACAAAAGAGAAGAAAATACTATCACAACTTCCAATTTATGCCATCACAAAGCTGAAAAGAAATATATTTTTTTAAATAATTGTTGTGTTTTTGTGTTTGGCTGAAAGAAGAAAGTCATACACACGTAAGATGGCTTGAGGCTGACTAATCTATGGGGTAATTCCCATTTTTGGGTAAACTATTCTATTAAAAGTATCTAACTACTTGGCACTAAAGAGTCACATTTCCTTGCTTTCCGTGAAGCTTATAAGGTGCTCTTTGGAATATTGTCAAGTAATGCTGTATAAGAAAATAATATTTTCACAGATAACAAAAAATGTTTTGACCTCATGTCTTTTACCTGCTGCTGTTCCTGTTGCTCCTGAATGTATCTGGAGTTTGCAGACACCAGGTGAGGCTCTAGACCGGCGTAGCGATCCTTTGCTGTGGCCCCCAGCAGAGCCTGTCAGACACAGACGCAAACATGACCATATCAATCCATTCACAGTCATTTCAGTGAAATAGTGAAAGAAAATCACTCACCTGTCTGTTTTTCTTCTCTGCTTGGGCCACAGCTGAGGGGCTAGCAAGCTGCTCTTTCATCATCTACACACAGTAACACACTCATGTACATGACAAAAACTTCACTAAGACTACACCATATTATTCATTAATATATGTATATATAAGAGTGATTGACACCTGCACAGAATTCCGTGTTCGCGCCACAAATTCCTGCCTCTCCTGGAGTTCATATTCCCCTAAACGGAACTTTCCAGGGTTTGCCTCCACAATACCTGATACTGTCAAGGATTATAACAAGTTCTGCTTATACATTATTACCGTTCAAAAGTTTAATAGTAGAATAATACGTTTGATCAGTAGAATAGTTAAGTATTTTCCTTCTGAAAACTATGCAGTCTTTTAGCACCTTAATCTCCCTTTTGCTAAACTGGGGTATCAAGGCACGCAGTATTCGTGTAACATTCTGTCTACTAAGGTGTCGTCATTTTGATATTTGAAGGCATCATTGGTCATTAGGTTTATAGCAGGATACTGATGGTTTCATGCAGGTCCTCTAGGTCCCAGTCGATGGCCCTTAGGCAGTTTCGGAGTTCATTGGTGCTCCAGTCCAGCTCATCGCGACTGACGGGTGTTTCTTCCTGCAGCAGCTCCTCCCAGCGCTCAAACAGCCCCTGTGCTTTAGACAGGGCCTTCTGCACCTCCCTGCCAGATAGAGGAGCAAACTGTCAAACCCTTTCTACTTCACAGGAATGAAAGGTGTTTATCAGAAGCAAACAACTTTTACATAAGCACTACTGCGGTGGTAGTTAGGCTAGTGTCATGTTGGGGTGATGTATATGCTTAATTTGTGGTTTGTATCTGTACATTAAATGAATGACATTGCCACACAAACACACACATGCAACATAAATCTGTGTGTTTACACTCCAGTCAAACACAAGCCACAATAAAATGTCTCTGGCTTCTTTAGACTTAATCCAACCTTCCAGATCACTAAAACTCAACTAAAAACACACCTATATTTTGTTTATTAGGGAACTTTATAAGTAAAATCACATGGAAACATTAATAATGTGACAATGACTGGAGCACCAGGTAGTGATTAAGATACTTTTCTAACAATTAAATGAACCTGTCAAAATAAAACTCGTGTCATTTAGATAAAGACGGAATACAGACATTAAGGCAAGGGAGATGAATATAACTTTTCTTACCCTTTAACCACGAAAAAAGGATCCTCCATCGACATATTAGCCCCTGTGGTTTAGGAGCTGCGTGAAGTCAACGGCAAGATGGATTGTATACGCGCACACGAGTTTTCAAAATAAAAGCCACTAAACTCTAAACAAACATGTTTCATACATAGCATGTTCCAATATTAACACTTTGACATTTTTCACATACTGATGACTCATTTTAAATCATGCAAGTTTTTAATATTTTAAAATTTTTTATTGTGCCCTATTTAGAGTTGTTTGGCTTTTACTATGAATATGTTAGCCTTACTGTTATCTATAAGTTAGTGTGCTCTAAAACGATGACAAAATTCGCATTAAGAAGGCCAAACCCAATGTTAAAAACCAATATCAGTCGAGACTATCAGTCCTGAGTCCTCTATCGTGGAGTTTTTCTTTTGTTATTTGAGGAAACGGGAACACAAAAAATATATAATGTAAATATTTAATGTAAAGTTTACCTAACTATGAATGTGAAAGGTATATTATTCAAATGTCCACTATAATGTCCTTTCTACAAATACAATTACAAAAAAAAAAAAAAAAATCTGATATTCTCTTTATTTAATACAAAATGTTAAGCACACAAAATTGTGATTACTCTATTTTAGGGTGTCCTTGGTAGTGTAAAAAGTACTAAATATATAATATTAATTAACGTATACATTGGGTTGAGTTTATGGTTAGTTATTGTGATTGTAAGTAACATGCAACAAGGAAACTGTCAAATAAAGTGTAATCAAAATTACTTTTTTAAATAATATGGTTGCCTTTATTTATTGCATAAGAAAGACCACATCACTGAAAACAATTTGGCTTAACAAAACTTTTATTAACTCATTAACCAGCAAATAATTATGCTTTATATTTCATGATATATTATAAATTTAGACTAAACCACACACTCATTTTGATCAAAAAATATTCATAGTTGTCAAGTCAAACTCTAATGGTCCTATTTTTATGTTAAAGAAAATATCAAAAGCTTAAGTCATCTTAATGCATAAACACAAGTTTCCAAAATACACAATTTACTCATTTGTATGTAAAATAGGCTAAAATGAATGCAATTGTTTTGAGTATATTATCAGTCCATCCTAACAATAATAAGTAATAACCATCTGTAATTTTGCAGAGAATTAATGCACTAATGTCTTTTAATAGCCTACTTGATTGAGAAAACAATGCGTTTCCTCTTTCTATCAGTTGCATGATGCATTACCTCATCTGTGGCTAAGCAGAAATGGCATATTTTAAGCATTGTTTGTCACTCAATTCCAAAAGAGGGTTGTTAGCACACCTATGTTGCAGTCCTGACCTGATTCATAATTAATTTGGTTATGTAACTGGCCTGGATGTGCATGACGCTCAAGGCAGTAAATATGCTAGGCTAAAGACAGGTAGTGGGTGACATTCATTTTTGAAAGAGTTGTTTTAAAGGATTCCCATATGCTTTTTAATGCTAGCTACAGGGTTAAATCCCTGGCGTCTGGTCCCCTCTCCTCTCTTTCCTTTTAGCAACACTATTCTCCTTCAATTCCTCCCCCACCTCTTAAACAGTCACCCTTTCCTTCCTGTCTCCTGCCTTCCTCTCTCTACACACTGTTTCCTGTTTCACACACACACTCCACCTCCTGTGAAAAGCATAAAGGTTGGTTGTATTTGTCAGGGCCACATTTGTGAGTAGTGAGACCAGGTGAAAATTGACTTTAGACGACATCTGAAATTGTTTCGACTATTTAAAAGACAGATAAGGCTGAAAATATGTTTTTTCTTTAAATGTCAACATGATGTTTATTTCAGGGTTGGGGTTTAGAAAATATCATTATGTACAACCATGCTATAACCCTCAAATAAACCTGTTGACAATATTGTGGGGTGATCTCAGGTGCAAAGAACGCTCGTGGAAAAAAGAAAGGGTGGACCTAAATGAAGACCTGATCACATGGAATGCAGTTTGTCAGAGAACTGTAATAAGGGAGCTATTTTTACAAGCGTTAGCTTGAAGGTCCTCGTGATTAGTCACTCTGTTTACAAAACTGGTTTGTAATCTGATGCCCTAGTGTTTTAATAAAATAATATTTCCTCCATCTTCTGTTTCTAAACACATTCACAAACAAGACTACCACCCATGCTGAGCATTAAATCAAAATAAACCGAATGAGATTTATTGCTAAAAATGCTTACACACAAGGAATTTACAGTAGGCCACACAAGCACATACACGGCTAGACAAGTTTTTTTTCTTTTTTTTTCGCGCACACAATTTAAAAGCAATTCTTTCTGTACAAAAAATGCTAGACACCAACAAAAACTGTAACTTCGACATAATCACCAGGTCAGGACAAGTAGGCCAATTTCTATAAATAGAACACGCATTTGCTGTGAATAACAGCTGCATTCTGACCTCAATCGCTTTGCTTCCTTCCTTCCTTGTTATACGCTCATGGTTGTTGGACCGGTGACAAGTCCAAATATGGTGCGCGGTGACATCATCACTGCCTCTGCTGAGGCTGCGGGAAGCTGCGGCACGTCACGGCTTTTCCACTGCGAGTGCGCGCTCCCCGGAGATACGACGGATCTACCAAATATGGCGATAGAACGTGACGTCGAGCAAACAGAAAAAAGTGAACTGTAAACACTGGAGGCAGATTGATAAAACTCTCAACATGAATGTTTCAAGAAGCTTGTTAGGCAATTTCAAATACCACATAAAATAAATAGCAAAGACAATACACTATTAAAAGAATAATACAAAACAAAAGCCAGTTAATCAGGAAAATGATGCACTTAGTAATCATTTCCCCTACACTTAATGCATATTTCATGTATTCATTCACATGTTATTAGTATAATTACATGATATCAATAAGTAATGATTATTGAGAAACAGATCACCCGAGGTCATTTTTACTATACTGTCAGACATCTGATACAGTGCAATAATGACATGTTTGTAATGACACTTTTGTAGAGCAGTGCTATTAAGACCTGTGTTGCCAGATTTCATTAGAAAAAACTAACAAACAAATAAGCAACTCTATTGTTTCCAGCTTTTGGCTACAAGATATTACATTTTTTTAATTTTGATTTTTAAACATCACATTCTTGTTTTTTATTTTACTAACGAAAAATGTTTACGTTTTGTTGACTAAAGTAAGACTGTAATGTAGATATAAATATTTTTAATATTTCCAAACACCTTTATTTACACTTATACACAACACAACACAACACTTATACACAATTTTTCTGCTTTATGGTCGCAATGTTAAATTGTATATTCTTCAATATTTGCATATTTTGTGCTTCTGGTGCAGGCAGTGTTTATCAATGAAAATACTTAACAAATGTATTTTTCCCTCACACCCACACCAGGGTTATTATATTTAAACTTAAAACATTATATTAATTGAAATGAACCTGAAATAAAGTAAATGAAAATAGTAAATGACAGTTATAAATGTTGCATAGGCAAATAATTGTAATAAGTTGTAAGTTGAAGGGGGAAATAAATAAAAAAAACTAAGATAAATATTAAACTAAGATCTTAGTTTTATCTTAGTTTAATATATACTGTATATTACAAAAAATTTACTTTTTTAACAAAAATTAACATTATTAAATTAAAAATTAAATATATTAATACACACTCTTAATAGTGGTCTGTATAAATAATACTAAAATAATACTGCCACAATTTCATGCATGTATTACTACCTTATTCTTTCATGCTTAAAGTTGAGTGTAATAAGTGGACATGGCAACACAAAGCATATGTTGACTTGATACCACAGTGCTGTGCCAATATGACGTGTGTTGACAAGTGGGAGGGGCGTGTTTATACACCCAGGGGAATGGAAACTCTTTACGTCACCTGAGCGCACATAAAACACCGCCCTGAGAGGAGAAAACTTTTAGTTTTACAATCCACCGCGAAGACCTTAAAGCGTAGACGTTTAAAAATAGAAAACCAGTCTAGAACTGAAATATCCTGACACATTGTTGGCTAAACACAATGGACGTCGAGGCAAAGAGAATCATGGCACTTTCTATTAGTAAACTGTATTCGTTGAGAACCCAGCGCGGGGGATTGAGACTTCACCGGAGTCTCCTGCTCTCTATGACCATGAGAGCCGCACGGGACATCTACCACTCCGTGCAGCAGCTCAGAGACGCGGAGGAGGAGCAGGTCGTTCCGTGCGCCCCGGAGGAGCCCATGGAGATCACTAAAGACTCTCCTCAAACTCCTAATGAGGTCGTAATGAAGTCTCAGGAACCAAAAGACACTCTAGTAGAGGACAAAGAGAACCTGTGCGCTTCTGAACGGCACTCCAGGAAGCGCCGCGGTAAGACGGCGCTCGAGCCTGACTTTCTACCTCCGAAGAAGGCCAGAATGGACACGGATGAGGAGAAGCAACATCTCCAAAGCGAGGTTTTGAGGACTAATAATGGAAACAGCTGTCGCCAGGTTGAAACCCTGACAGCGTTCACAACAAATCGAGCCATCGGGGCGTGTTGAGCAAGACGCACTTTGGATCACTCCGAGAATCGATTTCCCTTGATGGGAATTTCCTGGACAAACTGGTTCAGAGCGGACTGGTTATGCAGTGCGGTCGCCTCAGCTCGCCAGAAGAGCTCTGAGAGAGGCCAGGATCAGCAGGAATAGTCTACAGGACAGGTGGTGGATACTATGATCCCAATCGCATTGGAATCACCCGAGCTGCTTTATTGTTCAGTGAGAGGAGTCAGATGACTCTGTTGAATCACGTATGAACTGGGCTCTGATGTCTTCTTTCCAGCCTATGAACTTTACAACCTCAAATAAGAAGAACTCTTGTGTATGACACATAACACATGATGTTTATCCGAGTTTGATACTTGAAAATGCCAAAACGCGTTAAATGCCACTGTTGCACTGATCAATTGCACATAATATATTTTGATAAATAATACTAATATAAGAAGGGCATGATGGACTGATATCATATGATGTTGATTTCATTGTTTACTGTTTGCAATAAACATGCAAATGTTTAAAATCATCATGTTGTACAGATTTCATTTTGAAGAGCTCACAACATCTGAACAAACTCTTGAAGTCTAAAGTTTGGGCTAATATTTATGGATTAAATTAAGAAGTTCTGATTGAGGTTATATTTCCCCCCACACCTTTTAACCAAAGAAGAACCCAGCTTTTTACTTGAGGATTAACAACTATATTTTAGAGATTACACCCACAAAAAAGCAAGGCAATGAAATATCAACTAGAAAAAAAATCGTATTAATTTATTTATATAGGCCTAGTCTATAGATTAATTAGACTTTTCCAGGCCTGGAAATCACAATTTTTAAACACAAGTTCTCTGATATTTCCCAAGTCCAACGGTTATGAATTAACATTTTTCAAACAGATCATCTCTGAAATATGTGACTAACTCACTCAGCTTTTCATCATGAGGAGTAATGCTTATCTCACTGATCATAAACCCAATCTTCTGATAAAACATACAGCTCATCATCTGTCACTCATGTGTGGGCGATAAAAAAGGCAACAGCTGGAAACGCCACAGTAAAGTGTAATTTCCCTTCATTAGTCAGCAAGACCTGTCCGAACATGTCCATTAGTCATGAAATTCACTTTTCCTGTGAAGTGAACACACAGATAAACTTTTTTGGCTAGTGGCCAGCGTCAGACTTTATAATTGTCGAGCTTGAAGTCCCAGTTCAACTGGCATTACAACATCCGAAACTGACATCAGTAGAGCACAATGAGAAATAATTAATGCAAGAGAGTGAAACTAGAGTCCACAGGCCTCAAAGCATGAATTTTAATCACTTCCTTATGCGTTAACACTGTTGTGTGGTTTCGTATACCTTATATAAAATGTTTCAAATGTAATTTGTTTTTTTAAGTTTTTTTTTTTCTCTAAGATTTAGCCTGACACAAAAGCATGTGATTAGGTCTTAATTCAAATGACTATGAGTAAGTATGAATCATTGCTATGGTATGTTTTGGCACCAGAAGTGGATGAGCAGAGAGGAAGTGACATTTTCAGGTGGAGATCATTTTAAATGGCTGAATCCTCTGTTGAGAAACTGCAGTGAGATAATCGCTCAGGATGATTAATAACTGAAACTAATTTTAAGGTCAATCACTGAAACCTAGTTCAATTCAGATTGTGTGAAACCTAAATGAATCTGTTTGATGTGATCATGTGTGGAGTAGGTGGATACCTCAAACAGGTTTCTGGTGCACTAGTTTCCTCCACGGTGGTCTTGATGTGGGTCTTTGACCTGACAAATGAGGTGGAGGGGGGAAAGTACGGAAATTGTGATTTTCGCCTGTAGAAATTATATTAAAGCAGTGTCATAATGATGAACTGGAATTCAAAGTATGCTTAACTGTTAAATTTTTCAATAAAAAACATAAAAAATGGAGCATTGCAGTAAAGTTCAACCATTTAACCCAGATAATAAGAGAAATAATTCTCTTTTTAATTTATAAGACACATAATATTTCTAACTTACACATGTATTACTTATAATAACACACTATTACAAACAAGAGTTGTATCTGTTAATGCACTGTGAACTAACATTAACAATGCTGTAATACTCGTTATATGCATTAACTAATGATAAAAAGAGACATTATCAAGTATAACTTTTTTTTGTAAAGTATTACTAATTGAAGCAGAGAAGGGTAAATCTTTTTTTAAATATATGTATATGTATGCATGTACATATTTATATAGAAAAAAGTTTTGCTCTTCTCTGCTTCATGGTGACCTGATTGAATCGGAAGTATGAGGGTGTTTAGATGCACAGTCACTAATTCTTCGCTTCCTGGGACACTCTTACTTGGTATTTAACAGAGTCATTGGGTTAACAGCCCAGATCCTAAATAATCCGACTATCGACACATCCTTAACAGCTGTCAATGTCTGGCATCATTTCCACCTGAAACCTGATTGAATCCTTTTCAGATTGTCATGTAGTTGCGAACGCACGTGTCAAAGAGAGACATCTGCCTTCAACAAACATTCATCAATTGTCGAGTACAAAGACTGAAATGATACACACGTTCACACACAAACTACAGTCGTGCATCTGAAGACAGGAGATGGGTTTAGAATGCATTCTCTCTGGTTTTTATTCAGGTTCTTTAGGAAGAGGTCTGTTCGGAATTACAAAATGCACTGGTAGAAATAGCAGAGAGATACAGAGACAGAGGAAGAGAGAGAAAAAAGGGTGATTTTTCATAGCCAGAATAAATGTGTAACATCACCAGGTTCAGGCAGCCTCTTTCACAGCTCAACATCAGCAAAAAGGGTTTTGGAGTTCTCCTTAAATCAGAGTGATATGCAGCCCCTCACACTGAGGGTTACTGGATATCTTTGAACTTTTTTTTATTTTAATTTTTTTTTTTTAATTCTTTAATACACTTCCACAGCATGTAGTGTGCTCACCTCACCCACGATTCTCAGAGAACAGTTGGCAATAGAAACAAACAAACATTCTATGAGTATTTATCATTTATCGTCTCTTGTATTATTTTTTTCCCCCTCTTGGCGCTCTTTTTTGTCTTTTGTCATTTTTAAAAATAGAAGAAAAAAGGAACACATTGCTCATAAAAACATCTAACTATATTTATATATTTATACATATATATATATATATATATACTCTTTTTCTTTATATTTCTTTTTATATTTTTAGAATTCCTGAAGTTGACTTTTTAACCCACATAGTGGCATGCACATTGCACATGCAAATCAGTAATTAAATACCTCTCTTTATCATGGCCTTTTTTTCTTTTTAAACTTCCTCTTTTGCTTTTAAATGGTTCAGGTCAATAGTTAGATGGATGGCGGGTGGGATATGGGTGATTAAGGAGAGATGGGACGGGTTTGTGGGTGTCACGGTGACAGTGGCTGCGCCTCACATACTCGCACATTCACACCACACGCTTATTTCCCCTTCGACACATACGAGTGCTGTGAAGAAGCACACTCTGGCTGACGTGGTGAAAACACACTTCCTGTCATGTGAGCCGCTTCCTTTTAGAGAACCTCAACATTCGTTTCTCTTTTAAGTGAAATCTGCTCGTTTATCTGCTACATGTTTTTTAGCATCTATTCTGTCTTAGACAGAACAACTAGTGCACTTAAAGGGATCGTTCAGCCAAAAATGAAAATTCTGTCGTCTTTTACTATTACTGTGTTTCTTCTGTGGAGCACAAAAGAAGACATTTCGAAGAAACACAAAATAACATTGGACCCCATTGACTTTCATTATCTTCTTTCGAGTTCCGCTGTAGAAACGAAGTCATTCAGATTTGGAACTACGTTTAATAAGTAAACGATGACATTTTTCACTTTTGGGTGGACTGTCCTTTTAAATGTGTAATGATTTATGTTTTAATTAATGTAACTATGAGCATTACTAATAATACATTTACATGTCAAAAAATGTCTTTTCAATGTATTATCAAATCAGGAATGTGTTTGAATGAAGAAACCATGGCATGCATAAAGAACGAGAGGAAATGAAACAGTAAGGGACATGGAAATGCTGAAGAAAGAGGATGAACACAGACTGTTGCAGGAAGTTTATGAATGAGATATACAAGAGTTACAGAAGAGAGTTAAATAAGTTAGACAGACATGGACGGACAGTCGAGGTACAAACATGATGACTCTCTTCGCTTTCGCCATGGCTTTGTTTCTACGGTCATGTAACGGCGATGGGAAACTGTTCATTGTAAGGCACTAAAAAACGACTTGCCTTCAAATCAGCTCACGGACAAGCGTGCGCACACTCGCAGTCGACCGTCCCACTGTCACATGGATGAACCCAACCCTTCCGATCTTCTGGAAAAAGTGGCAATGGATCCGTACCCAATCTCGGATTGGGATCAGATGAGGATGATAATGAAGTATGCCATGGTAAATGCTGAGCAGAAATGGATTGGCAAACCCAGCACTAAATTACCCAAGGTGCACAATATCATTAGTATCCCTTTCTGATAAGATTTTTTTTTTTTTTGGCATGCACAATGCCTGTGCTGGCCACAGCTGTGCCTCAAGTTCTCACTCTCATACATACAGGGAAAAACAAAAAAAAAAACTACATTACCCATCACCCCCCTCCCTTTTTCTCCAGTTTCCCCCACACATTAGCATGCACACACATGTAATTCTGTTCTGTACAAAGGGAGACCACAGGAAGTGGTGTAGCTACATAGAGGGTGACTTGTTTTGGCAGCACTCAACCATTGAAGGAAAGCCCTTATTTCGTATGAAACACAAAGAAAAAACAGCTTTGTTCGACTAGGACGATACAAAACAAACAACACATGCTCAAATGCAAGTGTGTTGTGTATCAACGATGGATCACTTGTGTGTGTTGCAAACTGAAAATGGCTTTCTGTTGGGACAGAAAATGAAGATGCGAGTCAAAAACATAAAGCAATAAAGGCATTGACACTGAGAGCAAAAGAGGGTCAGAACCAAACTGATGAACAAGCAGAGCCAAAGAATGATGCACCAGTCTTAGTTACATGCATAAACCTTTAAAGGGACAGCTCACCCAAAATGAAAATTCCGACACCATTTATTCACTCTCATTTACTGTCTCTAAACCAATATGACTTAATTTCTTCTGTGAAACACAGCAGGAGAAAATTTGCAAGCTACAAAAAGGATGCACTATTTAAAGTCACCAAACAGAAGCTGTTTCAATGGATATACATCAAAATAAAAAAGAAAATGACTGCAATTTCTACATGAAAGCTGTAAAGTCTTTAAGCCCTTCAGGAAACTGGATCAGTCAAATTTGTGAATAAACCATTCTGACAGTAAACTGTAAACTGGATGGATCAACTGATTAGGTGGATTTTAACATATTTAGCGATTAATGACTTTTATTTCAGTCCGTTTTTTACACAAATCTATTGTATGGCTAATAAAAATAAGAAAACTGTCCGAATTGTATATTTTGCAGTGTTTTTGTGTCCTTTTAGAAGCCCCAGTCCTCATTTATTTAAACTGCATAGAATAGAGCAACCAGAATAATTATTGAAGATTTCTCCTTTTCTGTTCTGTTCAACAGAAGAAAGAAGGTCATAATAGTAAAGAATGAGATGAGGGAGAGTAAATCATGTCAGAAGTTTCTTTTTTGAGTGAACTGTTCTTTTAAAAACCACAACCTTCAGCTATCTCTTTTTAATCAATAAAAACCAAATCCTTTTAATAAACTATCGATCCACATCTTGAGCTAAAATGGAGCTGCATTTCAAGTGTTTTCAGCAAAAGAATTCAAGACCAAGAGAAATTCTAAATGGGCTTTATATTAACCATGCAAAAGGTCTAACTAACATTCATGCCTGACAAAAATAAGCCTTCCTGTCCTTTTGCTAAAGACCTGAGAAGTAGAACAATCCCTCCGATGTTCGATGCAACTCTCTAAACGAGCAGGGTGAGACAAATTAAAAAAAAAATGGTTGCCATCCACTCGAGGAAGCATTGCTGAGAGAGACAGAGAGCCGAGATGGACACCCTGACAGAACTCGGTTGTCAATTCCCTTCATTACTCTCAGAGTAACTGGGATCTTCCCCTATCGTATAACCGTGCCTCCCTGTCTTTAATAAGCCCAGCAGACAGCGCAGACATGGGAACTTGTTAAGGCGTAGAGTGACTGAGTCCATCACATTAAGAGAGAGAAAGAGGGGAGAGGGAAGAGAGGCAGGGGAAGGGTTAGTGTGCGACACTAGAACAGAAGGCACTGTGGCTCTGCAGGTTCATCTGGACCCATGGGCATCAAACCTGTGGCTAATTGGGGGCCAGCTGTGGGTAAATGTGGGCCGAACATCAACAAACACCCAGAAAACAGTGGTTTCCTCCCTAAAAGTCTTGAATATGGGTTGGCAAGGAGAAGGGATTAAACTAAATGACACTTTTCATTTAAAGAAAAGAAAAAAGTCCCTTGTACTGTGGATTTCATATGATAGTGGGACAGAAAATGAGACAACGCAGAACCGCCCAACTGACTTCAAGATTAGATGAACGTGGTGAACTATTCTGAGACACTTTAATATTTTTATGAAACCTTGCGGATTCACATGCTGACTGCTTTAAGAGAAACTTCAGCATCTTTACAGTCAGGGTTTCTGATCTTAAACATTCCATAAAGAAAAATCATAAGTGAGATCTCTTTAATTCTTACTCATAGACAGCAATGAGATAAAATTGAGACTTTTGGAGTTTTTTCTCCTGAGAAAAAGATCTCACATGCGTTTCGTCTAGAGTTTCAAACGATTTCAAATGATGCTACCCACATTTATTTCATAGCTCTATATTCATAAAGCACGGCAACAATTATCTCATTAGTGATTTTTTTTCTTCTAGATATTCGGAGAAACATCTGAGACCAAGTTGATACTTAAAATACACGGCTCCTGAGCTATAAAAGAGTAGCCTATGCACAATAAAATCCTTATCTGCAGGGAAAAAAAAAACCCTGTTGTAATGGGATATTTAACAAACATTTGGTCTTGATGTTTTTAGATGGTTGGATGGGTGTGGGTCAGCTGGACAGGTTAAATGACAGTAGGGGAGGCTGAAAAGGCCGCACCTCTACACCCCTGTGAGATATACGTTTGGCTGTATCGTTGTATCCTGAGCAGAAGGGGGAGGGTCTCAGATTGAGCAGGCAGCCAAAGACATGACAAACTGCCCATGGCAGGGAACAGGAAGGCAGGGTGGAAGAATCGTTTCCAGTTACTTGATCAAAGACTATCCAGGTCAAAATTCTCAAAAAACGACTGGCCTTCGACAGACCTGCTACGTCACCTACTGTGTGGGAACAGTTTTGCAAATGTAATAGCGCCCTCTGGCGACTGTATTTTCATAAGGGATCGTTTGTCCATAGTCTAGCCTGGCTAAAGCTGTGTAACAGCACCACAACATGGACAAAAAGTAAACAACAACATTCATCGCCCAAAATATTAACTTGCACTTACTCTACATTAGCAGTGAAATAATTGAAGGGGTTAAAATCTGACCTTCTATAAAACAATTTCTCCTGATCACACTGTTGTGTGACCATCTTTTTTTGTCAAAAAATAAATATGAAATGGACCCTGAATTTGTCTGAAAAACCCGACACGAAAACTGTCCGAGGGTATCCTGAATGGCCTGACTCTCTCTTTTAAAACATTCATGAGCTCTGACCAAAACTCTTCACCACTGATAGGAATATTCTACTCAGCTGAGGTCACAAGTACGTAAACTTCAGGACGCTGTCAGAAGCGCACCCCTTATAGACTTCAATCTGTGGTGAACAGAACCAAAAACAAACACAAAGAGTTCGAAACAAGATGGCCACAACAGACAAAACTCCTGAAAGCAAGACAACAAAGTCACATGACCACCTCTATCTTCATCAGCATCACCGTCATCTACATCAATTGCATTAAGATAGTTTTCATCATTATAAGACTACTGTTATTGACAATAGCAAATGAAGCCTTTAGAAAGGAGAACATCTCTCACCCCGTTTCTCTCTGTTCACAACCATGGCTGACAGAGCTGTAATGAGGGAGGTTTCACCATTCAGGCTAGTTTTTAGTGCAATCCAAAGTAATTATAAACAGTGCAGAACGTCATCTGGGATCCTCAGATGGAAATAACATAGAAAACACCGTCAGATCTGTCTCGCTATCTAGAAAGGTCTGCTTTAACGTCTATCTATAAACTCCATCTGCACATAAAGGTCTGTAGACATGGCAAGAGCAACAGGGAGAGAACGAGAGAAAGAACTTCCTTAAACTGAATGGAAAAAAGAGAGCTATCACCCCCCCTTCCCACAGTAAATCTTCTGTCTGATATATATATTTATATATTTTTTTTAAATCATTCATGCAAGTTTCCATCAGATTTTAGTCCAAAAATATCAAAGAAAGCTGAGCAAATGCAACAGAATAACCAAGCTCCAAATGTTAAAAAAGAAGAAGTAATCAATTGAAGACATTCTGAAGAGGAAATAGTCTTTCCGTCCCTCCCTCATCTGCCGTTTCATTCTTTTTCCGCTGTCTTTTCCTTTATCATCGAGTGGCAGTTTGTGGGCGGGGTTTCGGCGTGCCACGACAACCCGCCGCCTCCCGCCTGCACTATGAGTCATTTCGTATGCCACGCCTCTTCGACAGTTAACCCCTCCCCCAGGTGATGAGGTCACTCAGAGTCTTGAGTTGGTAACAGTAAACGTAGATGATAAAACTCATCGATATTGGCCAGCACATGGGGCTGGTTTTGCAGTAGGTAGAGCTCTTGTTCACAAGAAAACTTGCTTTTTCTTCGACAATGTCTATTTTTTTCTTCCCTTTTAATTTTTTTTGGGTCTTTTCAAGAGGCATAGATGTGAGGGGAAAAAAATGGGTTCTGGCTTGATTTTCAAACTTTTTTTCAAAACTCATTTTTTCTTTTCTTTTTTTTTTTTTTTTTTTGATTGACAGATGATGTTGCTCATTTTTCCACCGTGCAAGAAGCGATCGGTCTTGCTCAGTCTGGAGTGGAGTGTTCAAACACAACTCTGATCTTTAAAGTTCAGTCCATCGAAACGCAACCACCCCATTTATATCTCATATGCTCCCATTCCCTTGCTTGCTGAGCAGCATGGGCAACATAGTCTAGAGAGCAGGAGAAAGCAATAGAGAGAGAGAGGGAGTAGGGAAGCTCGATGTGCCACTCCAAGGTTCAGAGTCTCACGATGGCGCAAAAGCACCATTTGCTTTTCCTCTTCCGTCCCCTCTCTCCCTGCTGCGGTGCATAAACATCTCGGTTTGAGTTGAGCGGCGCCCCCTCCTGGTCACCCTGCGCACTAACACCAATCATCCTCGTCCGTCTCGCTATACTGTTCGTGCAACCCCTTCCGGGGCCCACGGCCATTTGCCGGCCGGTGTGGGCCTGGGTGGGGGTTGCGCCGGTGCGGGGAGGGCGAGGAGGAACGGTAGCCGTTCGGCACACGGCGCGGGTGTAAGGGAGGCCCGTGTCGAGCAGTCCTTGGGGACCGGGGGTGCGGGTGAGGGTTGCCCTGCGATAGGCTCTGCTCGTAGGCAGGTGGTTCGTGGTGCCGCTCGTACTCATAGTCCCGATCATAGAATGGTCCATCGCTCTCCAGGCTGTCCGGCGGCGGGCCCCAGCGGCCGCGACGTGGGGACCTGGGTGACGCATGCCTGGGGGAGCGCGGGGAGACGTGCCGGGACGAGTCGTGATGAGGCGAGGCATGGCGGGAGGGTGGGCGCTGGTAGGGCGGTTCGATATCTGGTGGAGAGAAGTGTCGCGGGGAAGGGGAGCGGAGTCGACCCTGGCCCGGGGAGCCGTATGGAGGCTTGCGGACGGCTGGGGAGTAGGTGACATGAGGACGAGGTGTGGATGGGGTCTGGGGCAACTGCCGACGGCCACGCCGGGGGGTGCTGGTCCCCGACGTCGAGGGAACGGGGCTTCCGCTCACAGAACTACTGCCCTACATGAAAATTAAAACAAGGCAAATAAAAAAACACCACAAAATTAACGTCAAACAAAAGAGAGGAGCACACACCGGCAAGAGGTGGAGGAGGAGAAAAAGAGAGAGAGAGACAAGGAAGAGGAAGCAAGAGAAAGAGAGAGAGAAAGGTGTGTGGAAACAACAACAACAACAACAACAACAACATCAATAAAATCAGAAAGAAACAAACCGGCAATGAGGCAAAACAGCAGACACAGAGAAGCCACGAGTCACGTCGAGAAAAATGGACATAAACCACAGTGATAAAAGAAGATAAACAAAAGAATAACACAAGAAAGATAAACTGATTTTAGTAAGCAGTCATGATAAGGTCACAGGTGAGCATATGCTGACTGGTTACTGTCCACATGGACCCACACCTGTGTTTTCTAGATACTCTAAGTTTCATTCCTCTGGCTTCTCATGGCAGATTACTGTAAAGATCTAAACCACGGACATATATACACGTGAATGTTCAAAATGACTGCTCGTGGGTATGACTTTAAAGGGGTCACATCATCAAACATCTCATTTTCCTTTACCTTTTAATAAAAATAATAAGGATGTCGATCGATTGAGAAAACGAATTAATCGCATGGGCTTCAGTAAGTTAATCACGATTAAACTGCACCTACTATTAAATATATTTTCATATTGCATCTCCAAATTAATGGTGAAATAACAAAGACAGTATTTAAAATATTCAATATTCAAAACCTTTGTTTAATGGCAAGTACTATGATATCACTGATAACAATAATGATACTGATGCCTCTTATTTAAAGTTAAGAGTTCAACAGCCTTATTTTTCCCAATCCTAAAAAAATTAAAATAGTTTAAGTTGTTATATAAACATATTTTAGCTCTCAGAGTGCAAAACCTCCTCCAGTCCAAAAAAACAACAACAATGTACCGAAAATAAACTACAGCAGCTTGTTTCGAAATGCATTAGTACATGACTGTGTGTGGCTCTTCTTAAGGATCCCAATATATAATTGTTATTTTTTTATTTTAACTGTTTAGGTGGCACATTTCAGCACAGATTGTTTTGTGAACCTGCTGCAATGTGCAAATGTGGCTGTTATTGAAGAACAGAGCGGTGCAAACTATATTGGACCTGACAGCAAATCTGCAACTCATAAGTGCTGTTGCTTAATTTATTAAGATAAACATTCAATATGACATGACCCCTTTAAGTAGTGTAGTGAAATAAGTTGAAAATTTCAAGTTGATTTTGTGTGTAAATATACGCGAGTTGTTTTTCAGCGAGTGTGTGTGCCCCACCTGTCTGTGCCCTCTCCCCTCACTCGGTGAGCGGGACCATTGGCGATCAGATCTGTCTTGAGGATGACGGTGGTAGTCACGCTCATGACTGTAACGCTCTTTATCCACCGAGCTGTGGTGGTGGTGATGATGATGATGGTGGTGGCGACGGTCTTTTGCTCGACCCCGTTCTCGCTCTCTCTCTTTAGGTGGAAGGTCAACTGACTGTGTAGTGGTGCTAAGATCTGTGCCCAGTCCTGCAAAAGACAACACAGAGACATCAGACGAGACGTGTAAGAACACAAACCCTCCAAATGAGGGTCACTGTCAATTATTAGGGATTATAAAGTATGCAAATGCAGTTATAGCACTTGCATATTGTTGTCCTACTGTTAGTTTAACTGCTTCTACTGTTCTATTTTGTAAGTTGCGTTGGATAAAAGCGTCTATCTATCTATCTATCTATCTATCTATCTATCTATCTATCTATCTATCTATCTGTCTGTCTGTCTGTCTGTCTGTCTGTCTGTCTGTCTGTCTGTCTATCTAATCTATCTATCTATCTATCTATCTATCTATCTATCTATCTATCTATCTATCTATCTATCTATCTATCTATCATCTATCTATCTATCTATCTATCTATCTATCTATCTATCTATCTATCTATCTATCTATCTATCTATCTATCTATATGCCTGACTGCCTGCCTGCCTGCCTGCCTATCTATCTATCTATCTATCTATCTATCTATCTATCTATCTATCTATCTATCTATCTATCTATCTATCTATCTATCTATCTATCTATCTATCTATCTATCTATCTATCTATCTATCTATCTGTCTGTCTGTCTGTCTGTCTGTCTGTCTGTCTGTCTGTCTATCTATCTATATGCCTGCCTGCCTATCTATCCATCCATCCATCCATCCATCCATCCATCCATCCATCCATCCATCCATCCATCCATCCCTATTAGGTCCAGTAATGAAAACTTTTATTAATTTGTTTGTGGCAATTTTTTAAATTAGAGCAACAGAATGTTTACAAACATAATTGATTTTTAAAATAAAAATCTGTTCATTATTCATCAGAAAAGTACAGAGACCCTAAAGGGACATGGTGATTGGAAATAAATATGAGATGGGCAGAAAAATTACATCAATGCTTTTGTGTTCTCTCGCAAATGTTTTATGTTCCGACGAGAAACTTTACATTCACAAAAGATCTCAAAAGTTTTGTGAGAAACCGCAATGTTTCTAAGAGGAATGAAAAACTTTTGGAAGCGAACGTATAAAAATACGTTCTTTTACATATTCAAAATACGTTCATTTTTATATTTTAATATAAAAATATATTTGTTACTCCCATCTCATATTTTTTCCATCACCATGTCCCTGTAGAAAAGTGAGATAAAACAAAGAAAAAGCAAAAGTGCAGTGACTTTGTTTAATTGCTTAAAAGTCCCTTTGGACAAAAGAATCGGCTACAGAAATACATTTAAATAATGTAAATATTGTCAATAAAGAGAGATTTTTAGATTACATATTGGAGGGGAAAACATTTTTATAGTTTGACAAAAATTAAGAAGCACTGCTAACTTTAGATAGTAAGTTTCATATAGCACCTACAGAACTTGGGTATCTTAAACTAAAAAAATAATAATAATAAAACAACACATTTGCAATGAGTTGTGCGTGACCTGTGTCTGCGTCTGTATAGCGAGCGAGGGATCTCTCAGAGGTGCGGTGACTGCGGTCTCTCTCCCGGTCTCGATCACGCTCTCTCCTTCGCGGACCGTGTCGGTGAATCTCTTCTGACACCACCCTCTCCAAAGAATAATCGTCCAATCGTACGCCTCGACCAGAACGTCCGTGGACCAGTGAGGATGTAGAACGGCGCATTGGACTTGTGTCGGTGATGGTCTACAGAGAAAGAAAGAAAATAATGAAAAAACAGGGAAAGGACAAAAGTTTACACTGATGTGAGTTTTCGTAGAAAAACTGAACTAAATGCAGTGTGCGTGAGTGGAAACATCTGAATGTAACCAGATTAACACTCAGTACATTCCACACCCACAGAGAAAACCAAAGCACAGGTATATCTGTCATGCTTAACAAAGACAGAAAGAGAAATAGAGATCAACAGGAAAAGCGAAGGAGATCTAGATAGAAATACAGAGATAAATGGATAATCTGTGATTGACAGAGAGTAAAAAAGAAAGATAAATAAGCAGATAGACAGCCAGAAATTAATTTATACGGATAGATAGATAGATAGATAGATAGATAGATAGATAGATAGATAGATAGATAGATAGATAGATAGATAGATAGATAGATAGATAGATAGATAGAACATGCCTTACATGCACCGCAGCCTTTATAATACAAGCGGAAACATTAAATAATCAATGTCTTTCTCTGCAATAGCTGAGCACACAGAAGAACTCAATCCAGCCAAATAAACTTCAGCACATTCATCAATACACACACCCTAAGGCATGATGGTCAACATGACAGTCGGTAGCCTGTGTGGACGGCGCACAGTCACATTACGCTCTTATGCATCTAAACATGATCCAAAAACTCAAATAACCCTTCACGCTCTTCTGTTCACTCACACACGTAATGCTTGATGCCATGCGCCTTGTTGAAACATGCTAACAACATGACCGTTATTAGCAGGAGGTTTTCCTGTTTGAAATCCATGCGTCAAGAACTACGAGACAGCAAAAGCTCCCCATGTCCACGGGACCAGAAATACAGAGATAAGATATAGACAGACACACAAACACTTGTGCTCGCACACACACTCACACACACTCACACACACACACAGGGATACAGGGCTGCATAAGTGGACACGAAAAAGGTATAGAGAGAGAAAGGTACAGCAACGGGTAGAATATACAGAGGGAAAACAGGATGGCATGAAATAAAAAGTTCAGAGTGACATCAAGACGTAAAGAGAGACGCAGACTCCTTAAACAGACAAAATGAGAGAGGGAACAAGGGAAAGCATGGAGAAGATAGAGAGAGAGAGAGAGAGGCAGAAAGCCAGAGACGGTACATACACTGAGGTTACTTCCTCGAGGCCTGTGTCTCCGTCGCTGTTGAATAGCACACAGAAGATGCGCAGAACAGGACACACGCATGAGACCACAGGGACGATACACACAGAGCACAGCAGAGAAAGTGTGTGAGGAAAAAAAAAGAGAGAGAGGGGAAGGTAAAGGAAGAAAAGAGGAAGTGGAACAAGGAAGGAAGCAAGGAAGTGGGCATGATGGGTAAAAATGGAGACAAATTTGATGTGCAACATGACAGAAGAGACGATAAAAAGGTCCCAGGAATGAAACATTGTCAAAACAAAAGGAAAGGGGTTGATGGAGTTGGTAAGAAATTAAAAAGACGAGTGTGCCACAGGAAGTCCATGAAAAATGGAACGAGACCAAAACAAAGAAGGAAATTAAAACCAAACAGGGAAATACATAGGCAACAAGAGCAAGTAAAACCAATAAAAAGAAGGAAATGGTTGAAAATGGACGAAAGGAAAAGGGAAATAGGAAACCAAGAGGCATTATGGGTACAAAAAGGAGACAGAAAAAACAAAGATTGAGGAGTGGAGAAGAGAGCAGAATAAGAGAGAGAAATCGTGATCCCCATTTTAATTTCGAGGAAAGGAACACAGGCATTGACAGGAATGGGTTGGGGGGAGGGGGGGAGGGGGAGGAGGAGGAAAAGGAAAGAGAAAAAAGACAAAAGTTGAGCGAGTGTAGAGGAAGATAGGAAGCACACTAACACACTTACCGCAGCAGAATGCACACTCTGTGGGGCAGAGCAGTGTTAGACAAGAGTGAGTCACAAGAACAAGAACCACATCGGTTACAGCTTTACACGGAACGCACAAACACAGACTTTAGATCCTCACGCTTCCTGGTGTGCACTGTGTGCACCACACTTCCAACACACAAGTGAACATATATAGATTTTGACTAGTTTATGAGGTTTCTACGCTTCGCTCACCTTCACACACACATGCGGGGACACACGGCTCCCTCACACTTATCTGATACACACTTGGACAAAATGCTCAATCCAGACACATCTCCAGAGGATAGTCAACCAAGAGTTGATGGGGTTTATGTAAGGGTGAGAAATGCTGTGTATATTTATGCATTTGATCATAATAGTAGTGTAATTGCTTCTACGTGAAGTGTTTTGGTTGTGTGTTTGCGGAATCAAATGTTGTGAGCGTGTTACTGCCTCCAGAGGTTGATTTGTGTTAGTGTTTCAAAAGGATCAGGTGAAATATATCTGTCCGGTCAGGAAGTCACAGGAGATCGGCGTTAGGTATGCAATGCAGTGCATATGTTGCATATCACATATTTGCACTTTTTTGCATGAAAAGGATGTCTCTTAAAGAAGTAGTTCACTTTAAAAAACTTTTGCTGATAATTTACTCAGCCCCATGTTATCCAAGATGTCCACGTCTTTCTTTCTTCAGTCGAAAAAAAATTAAGGTTTTTGATGAAAATATTCCAGGATTTTTCTCCATATAATGGACTTCATTGGGCACCAAACGGTTCAAGATCCAAATGAGAGTTTCAGTGCAAACTGCAAACTGTTCAAAGGGCTTTAAACGATTCCGGACGATGAATAAGAGTCTTATCAAGTGAAACGATCGCTCATTTAAAAAAAAAAAAAAATAGTCTAAGTTTTATAAGCTCAAATGGTCACCTTGCTCTGTTCTGATGCACGTTCGTGACTCTCCTATTCAAACTCGTTCATCAAAATGAATGAATCTTTTCCCGAGTCAATTTGTACATTTCGTTCGTTGAATAAATCAAATAACCTTAAAAAAGAGTTAATTTTGATAAACGAGTTTGAACAGGAGAGTCACGAACGCGCATCACAGGACAGAGCAAGGCAACCATTTGAGCTTATAAAACTTAAACTTATTAAGACTCTTATTCATCGTCTGTTTAAAGCCCTTTGAACAGTTTGCAGTTTGCACTGAAACTGTCTTTTGGACCTTGAACCATTTGGTCCCCATTGAAGTCCATTATATGGAGAAAAATCCTGGAATGTTTTCATCAAAAACCTTAATTTCTTTTCGACTGAAGAAAGAAAGACATGGACATCTTGGATGACATGGGGGTGAGTAAACCAAGTGAACCACTCCTTTAAATCAACAGTTCCCATTCAGGGAACTTCGAGCTGCGTGTAAACGCCGTGGGAACGCCTCTGCGTGACGAGTCATGAAGCACGTATGAAATCTGTCCAATGGCGAGACGGAACGTCATAGGCGGGGTGACGTATCGACCAGGAAACTATAAAGCATCCCCGAAACACAAGCGCAACAGCTTCTGAGTCTTCACAAGCGCTCTATGTATGAATTTTGTCTGTCTGTCTAATATTGTATATTTATATATATTGATATGGCGAGCAAACAACAGCAGAATTTCAGAAAGTGTGTTCATCCCTGCCCTCGCTTCATCACGGGTGGGGATACACACGATCTGTGTGTTGTTTGTTTGGGAGTGCAGCATGCTCAGTCGGCTCTCGAGGGGGCCGGCTGTGAGCACTGCGAGTGTCTGCCCATGAAGACACTTCGCTCCCGCCGGGCACTCTTCGAGGAGAGTGGTTCGGTGCGCGCTCCCCGCGGCTCGGGTCCCGCTGCTGCCGAGGCACAGCGAAGGCTTGCGTCGTGGGGATCGCAGATGGATCTATCAGCGGGGATTGAGACGGGCCCCGCCCTTTCTCTGCCCTTACCTGGTAGATCCAGTGCCTCAGTTCTCGCTGCGGGGGTCCGCGTTGCGGTTTTCCTGCCCGGGCTGAGGCGCCATCACTTCAATTATCCAGTTCTGAGGAGCTGGATGTTGAAAGTGTGGATGCAGAGTCTATGGACTCAGTGGAGGGCGAGGGAAGCTCGTTTGCCATCCCAGTCTCCCGCTAATGTAGTAAAAAAATAAAAATAAAAAATAAAAGGAAAAAAAATGGAGGTTTTTGACTCGGGCTGTGGAAAAATTAACCATTGAATGGCCAGTTGAGAAACAAGAGTCGAGAGAGTAAAATGGATGAGAGATTTTTAATATCACACTCACTACCTCCATGCCGGTGTTTGCCCTTCTTCCCCGATCTACACACCGAGGTGTGTAGATCGTGGAACAAACCAGTGTCAGCTAGAATTTTGACACACCAGACCTCTATGTATGCTAATATTGCTGGGTCTAGGAGATATGAGTGAGGGGGAGGTCGTCGGCACTGACGTGATTAATGAGATACTGCGTCAGGCGGCAGATATTTCTCTCCGTGCCACCAAGGAGACGGCCAGATCAGTCGGCCGCTCTATGGCAGCCCTGGTGGCCACGGAGAGGCATCTGTGGCTAAATCTGGCTAATATGAAGGAGAAAGATAAAGCGTTTCTCCTGGATGCGCCGCTGTCGACCGGAAAAAAACAGGCAGCGGCGCTCCAGAAATGTCTCCCCCTCCGTACTCATCCTTCGGGGGCTGCTGGGCGAGAGCAGCCCCGCCCGTCGAGAGAGCGTCGCGTCTCGGGCTCCTCCCCAGCAAAACTGGGCTGAGACGCGGCGTTCTCAGGCGAGGTCTTCCCGGGATAGAACCGATCTGAGGACGGTTATTGTCGCCAGGAAGGCTTCGTCGAAGAAGTCCTGACGCCACTGGTGTCAGGCTACTGAGGGTGGTCCCCACCGTGAGACAGAGGTGTTCGCCGCTGAATCCGGCACCCGCTCTCTCTCGGTGCCCTCAGGGGTTCGTTCTGCCAACCCTGCCTGTAATGGGGGGTGCAGACGGTCCCAGCGAGCGATTTCCCGAGGGACGCTCGTTTGCTCCGAGGAGCGATACAGAACGGTCGTTAAACCCTGCCTGTGCGCGGTCACAGGGCGCTGTTTCTGTTTTTAAAAACTACTCCAGAGGCCAGTCTCGAGAGACTGGTACCCTTAGTAGAATTTCTGGTAGAATGGGGAAGTCTTCCAAATATATCTCGTTGGGTCCTGCAGACTATCGAACGCGGGTACGCGATCCAGTTCAGGTCGCGTCCACCTCGTTTCCGGGGGGTTTTGCCCACAGTGGTGACCCCCGAGCAGGCTCTGGTTATGGAACAAGAAGTGAAAGCTCTGCTACTGAAGGGGGCGATAGAACGAGTTCTTCCTCCCGACAGAGAGCTGGGGTATTACAGCCGGTACTTCATTGTTCCAAAGAAGGATGGGCGGCTGCGTCCGATTTTAGACCTGCGCCTCTTAAATCGGTCAGTAGGGAAGCTCAAGTTCTAAATGCTGACTCTCAAGCAGATCGTGTCACAGATCAGGTCCGAGGACTGGTTTGTCACGATAGACCTAAAAAAAAAAAAAAAAGACGCGTACTTCCATATCTCCATCCTTCCGCAACATCGGAAGTTCCTCAGGTTCGCTTTTTGGGGCGAAGCGTACCAATATCGGGTCCTTCCATTCGGCCTAGCGTTATCTCCTCGAACCTTCACGAAATGCATGGACGCGGCCTTGGCCCGCTGCGTCTCCAGGGCATTCGCATTTTAAATTACATCGACGATTGGTTGATTCTGGCTCAATCGGAGCATCAGGCGATTCGGCATCGAGATGCCGTCCTCGCCCACATCAGAAGGTTGGGGTTGAGACTCAACGCTAAGAAGAGTGTGCTTTCGCCAGTTCAGCGGACCACTTTTCTAGGCGTGGTATGGGATTCGACGACGATGCAGGCACGTCTGTCGCCGGCTTGTATAGCCTCGATTATCTCGACTGTCAAGCAAGTGAAGCTAGGCCAGTCACTCACTGTAAAGGAATTCCAGAGAATTCTGGGTCTGATGGCAGCAGCATCCAACGTGTTACCGTGCGGCCTGCTGTACATGAGACCACTACAGTGGTGGCTCAGGACCAAGGGGTTCTCCCCGAGGGGAAAGCCGCTCCGCAAGATCAAGGTCACGCGACGTGGTCTCCGTGCCCTGGCTATGTGGAAAGAACCTTGGTTCCTGTCCCTGGGACCTGCGCTGGGAGCCCCGTGTCGCCGGGTATCGGTGACGACGGATGCCTCTCTCACGGGCTGGGGAGCGATCATGAGTGGTCGCTCGGCCCGCGGGTTGTGGCAAGACCATCATCTCCGATGGCATATAAATTGTCTAGAGATGATGGCGGTGTTTCAGGCTGTGAAACACTTTCTCCCAGACCTCAGAGATCATCATGTTCTTGTCCGGTCAGACAACATGTCTGTGGTCTCTTACATAAACCACCAGGGGGGTCTGCAGGGACCCGTTCTGCTGAACCTGCCTGTGAGGGTGGGCGCAGACGGTCCTAGCGAGTGGTTTCCCGAGGGAAGCTCGTTTGCTCCGAGGAGCGATACAGAACAGTCGTTAAACCCTGCCTGTGCGCGGTCACAGGGCACTGTTTCTGTCTCTATAATTACTCCAGAGGCCAGTCTCGAGAGACTGGTACCCTTAGTGGAATTTCTGGCAGAATGGGAAAGTCTTCCAAATATATCTCGATGGGTCCTGCAGACTATCGAACGCGGGTACGCGATCCAGTTCAGGTCACGTCCGCCTCGTTTTCGGGGGATTTTGCCTACAGTGGTATCCCCCGAGCAGGCTCTGGTCATGGAACAAGAGGTGAAAGCTCTGTTACTGAAGGGGGCGATAGAACGAGTTCTTCCCCCCGACAGAGAGTTGGGGTATTACAGCCGTTACTTCATTGTTCCAAAGAAGCTAACGATATACGCCTCCCTCACGGGCTGGGGGCGATCATGAGTGGTCGCTCAGCCCGGGGTCTGTGGACTTTCTCCCAGACCTGAGGGGTCACCATGTTCTTGTCCGGTCAGACAGCACATCGGGGGTCTTTTTATAGACCATCAAGGGGGTCTGCGCTCATGTCCATTATTCAGGCTAGCGCCAGATCCTTCTGTGGGCCCAGGGGAAGCTTCTTCTTTGGCGATTATATATCCCAGGATATTTAAATCGGGGAGCAGACATCCTGTCGAGGCAGGGGCCGAGGCCCGGGGAGTGGAGACTCCACCCCGAGGTGGTGGAGCTCCTATGGAGTCATTTCGGTCATACCGAGGTAGGCCTATTTGAATCCAGGGACTGAGACACTGCATGCTGTGGTTTCTCTGTATCCACCAGCCCCTCTGGGGTTGGATGCGATGGTACAGGAGTGGCCGAGGTCACCCCTGTACGCATTTCCCCCGATTGCTCTGCTCCCAGGAGTTCTGGAGAGGGTTCACCGAGTCGGGGTCTTTCTACTGTTAGTAGCCCCGCGTTGGCCGGCCCGAGTATGGATGCGGGTCGATACTTCACCCCGCCCAGATCTATGGAGGTTGTGGCTTGGCCTCTGAGGGGGCCCAGCTCATAGAATCGGGTCTCTCGACTGAGGTCGTGGAGACCATCCTCCAATCCAGAGCTCCGTCCACGAGGAGATTATATGCCTTGAGGTGGCAATGTTTCACCTCTTGGTGGGGAGAACACCAGTTGGACCCAGTTAACTGCCCGGTGTGGCGGTGCTGGAATTCCTTTGGAGCATTTCTCCACAGGGTTATCCCACTCCACACTAAAGGTGTATGTGGTGGCCTATCTGCTTACCACGTCCCTTTGAGTGGAGCTTTTCACGGGAGATACCCATTGGTAATTCTTTTTCTTCGTGGTATTGTGAGGTCAGACCAAGAGAAACTAATCTGCTCTGCCCTCTGAGGGCTCTAGATGCTTATGTCCACAGAGCTGCCCTGTGGAGAAAGCCTGAACAGTTATCTGTTTGTTTTGGACCTCCGAAGAAAGGTTGTCCCGCATCTGAGCAGAGGTTGAGTAAGTGAGTGGTCGAGGCCATCTCATTTGCATATGAGTCCGCCGGTCAGCCTTCTCCTTTGGCTGTCTGGGCTCACTCAACCAGGGGTATGGTAGCTCCGCTCCAGGGGCGCAGGTGCTTTCGTCTAAATATGTGCCTGATTTCATACAACGGACACCTGCTCGCATGGCGGCGTTGGTATTAGCGTTCCCACGGCGTTTACACGCAGCTCGAAGTTCCCTGAATGGGAACGTCTCTGGTTACGTATGTAACCCTAGTTCCCTGAAGGGAACGAGACGCTGCGTGTCTATGCCATACTCCCAGCATGCCCGTGAGCGCTTGCTTCAGTCCTATCAGAAGCTGTTGCGCTTGTGTTTCGGGGATGCTTTATAGTTTCCTGGTCGATACGTCACCCCGCCTATGACGTTCCGTCTCGCCATTGGACAGATTTCATACGTGCTTCATGACTCGTCACGCAGAGGCGTTCCCACGGCGTTTACACGCAGCGTCTCGTTCCCTTCAGGGAACTAGGGTTACATACGTAACCAGAGACGTTTTAATTTTTTAACATTTCAAAAGTCTAGAATACTAAAAGAGATTTCTGTTTCAAATAAATACTGTTCTTTGGAACTATCTAATTATCAAAGAATTCTGAAAAAAAGTATCACAAATTCAACAGAAAAAATAAACTCTTTTTACCATTGATAATAATTGCATATTCGAATAATTTCTGAAGGATCATGTGACACTGAAGACTGAAGTAAGGATGCAGAAAATTCAGCTTTTTCATTACAGGAATAAATTTTAAACATAATAAAACAGAAAACATTTTTTTTTTTCAAATTGTAGAAATATTTCACAGTATTGCCGTTTTTATTATTATAATTTTTAATGAATGAATTGATAACTCCACAAGTTATTCTGTATCACATAATTGCTTTTTAAAGCTAGAGCTATCCATTTTATAATTATGCACAAACAGGCTGTTTCCTTATGAGTTGACCTATTTCTGTCTGACGTGTCACTACCTCAAATCGAGCTCTGGCAGCAGCACACACCACCAGACACACCAAGGTTTTCCTGAAAGTGAGCTAGGGTGGTACGATGATGCTGAGAACACACAGTCGCTCTCACTCTCTCTCACACACACATACGTGCATTCACACAGCCATGCAGGTAAGTGAAGGTAAGGGTGTGAGCCACTTATCCATGTGCCCTTTGACTCTTGACAAAGACATGCTAGCATTTATTGACATGTTAGCATGACAGCACACCAAACTATTTGAAGTTTGGTTCCCCCCACCAAAGCGGTCAAAGGCTGTAAGCTGGATAACTGACTAATGACGGATGTCGGGACTGGATGATAACAGATAAAAAGGTGGAAAGATGAAATGGGTGAATGGATGGATGAAAGGATGAAGGTGCTCACTTGGTTGTCTGCTGAGAGGCGTGGCATGGAGATGGTCCGCCCATGCCCTTCCATTGGGTGATAGGGCTCAGTGTCCGAGTAACCGTCCCCAACAGGGCCAATCTCTCTCATTTCTACCGTCTGCAAAACAGAGCAACAGCATGTGGGCCGGGCTGATGCCTGCTTCACCGGCCTACAGCTCTATGGGGTGTGATACTGGACCCATGAGGGATTAAACCAGTAGAGGGCGATGTCATGTGCAAAAGTGCTTTGAAAGTTTGAACTAAAGATTAGCACACTTGATGTAGTCATTATAGTCATATCACTAACAGAGTTAAATAAAGGAAAAGGTGCACACTAGTCTCTGATTATCGGCCCATATTACAACTTATTCCGGCCAATTTAAACAGGAAGGGAGTCTGACTGATATGTAAAGGTTTTTAAAGGACAGGTAAATCTGAAATAAGATAAAAGTATGAGAGCAGCGCACAAAGATATCACATTTACTTACAACATATATACTTATTTATATTTTTGTTCTGGTTTATATTTCAACTTAATTTGACAAATATTTGAATACAACCTGGTTTTGAGGAAAGAAAAAGAGATTGAGTGATTTCAAATTTGGTCTATAAAAGAGAAATGTAAAATAAAATAAAAAAATACTACAAATATAAGATCAAGCTTTACGCTACAAATTAATAAAACAAATATTTTAACATGACTTATTTTGCATACATACGCAAAGAAATTAGAGGAAATAAAAAAAGAGATTGTGTTGTTTCAGGATTAATAAATACATAAACATATACTATTAATAATAAATATTTTTTCATATATTTATATATATTTTAAATATAAAATTGAATAAAAAAGCTTAACTTAAGATTTCTGGATTTAATTAATGGATAAACAAATGAACATTGCAAATATTTGAACCTGTTTTACATATATATCCAATGTGATGAGAAGAAATTAAAAGGCATAGATTGACTTAAAAATTCACAGTAAAAAGGTCCCAGCTCTCGTTTGTAGACTTCTTGAAGGCTGAGACTAGGTGCACACTAACCCTGTGTGATTGCCCACTACTGGTTTAAGTGCTTTCCAACATGCTCTTCAAGCCTACAGCTGTTTATTCAGAATCTCCTTTGCTTCATAGTACTAGGATGAGTGACTCGTGCAGGGAAACATCAGGGTCGGATGACTGCTGAGCTACAGAGAAGAGTCACACTGAAGGAGATATGAGAGTCTGGAGGGGGTTTGGTACGATCCAGCAGACAGTGAAGAAGCAGCAAGCAGTGAATCACCCCCGCAGTCTGGCAGAGGTGGGAGGGTCTATACAAATGTCTACGATGGGCAGTAAAGTTCGGCAGAAATATTTATCAGATAGATAAAGATGTGAGCTAGAGACTGACAGAGACAGAAGAGGTAGAAAGAGTGATAATATGAATGAAAAGTGTGCCCAAAAGCACCGGAAAAGACAATGGCTGGGAAGACAGTGATTGGCTGAAGCACACGGTTCTTGGAATACCGAAGGCTTGAGAAAAGGCCAGAAACCAATTCTGCTGATATAGTCACAGCCACTTTGTCAGGTTTCAATCGGCCAGATAAACTCCTGCTAAAAGTTCAGATTCAGATCTAAGACAAAATCACCTTTCTGCTCGGAGGATCTCCGGTATTACCTGTGGATTATGGCGGCTGTTGTGATGGTCATCAGGATACGTTGGTCTGTCAGGGTTCCAGTTTTCCGGAACAGACTTCTGGAACATTTCCTGGGCACGGGACGTCACCCAAGATTGGCTCTCACTCATTCCACCCTCTGGAGGCCTGGACCAGAGAAAGGTGTTGGTTGGCTAATTCTCTCACTCACTCTCACATACTGACATAAAAGCAATTTTGTACATAATTGTACAGACAAAACTAGTACAGAAAGACTATTACAAATGTATATACAGTAGAATTAACATATAAGCAGATAGACGTATATCCTAGAATTGAAAGACAGCTGAGAGAAGGTAAAACAAAGAAAGAGCAGAAGTGCAGCCTATAAGGAGAAGAAGAAAGACAACAATTAAAGCAAAGCTAAACAGTGAAGAAAGAGACAAAGAGCACCAGTCGAAACAGGTGAATCTCATAAACCCTGCCAGGTTTTAGTAGTATTTTACCCCCCAAAAATAAAAAATAATATTAGAACTTTGACATTATTTTCATGACTATTTAACATTTAATTTAATTTTAGAATAATTTAGATGCATTTCAATTTAATATATTTATATATAGCTTTTGTTCTGGATTATATACTCTTACAAATATAACATCGAGCTTTACACTACAAATAAAAATAAAACAAATATTTTTGCATAAATATGCAAAGCTATTATAGGGAAATAAAAAAATTGTGTTGTTTCAGGTTTGGCATATAAAATAAACCAATTTCTATTTTATATATGTATATATTGTTGATTTCTTTGATGCTTTTATTTAATTTAGAATTTTGTATTACACAAAATGTTTTTTAATAATTAATAAAAAAAATTAATTTCAGCATTTATTTACTGCAATACAATTATTTATTTAGGGATGTCCAAAGATTAATGGCGATTAATCGCATCCAATAAAAGTTTGTTTTTCCATTATAGGTGTGTGTGTGCTGTGTATATTTATTTTGTATATATAATTACACACATATGCATGTATATATTTAAGAAATGTGTTATTCATATATAAAATATTTATTAATAATATAGATTATGTATTTATATATAAACAGTATTTACGTGCAAATAATTCTTAAATATATACATGCTTGCATATGTATTTATACAAAATAATTCTACACAGCACACACATACTATGTAAACACAAACTTTTATTTTGAATGCGATTAATCGCAATTAATTTTTGCACAGCCCTATTTATTAAAAAAAATTACAATGAATTTTAGATTATTTATTTTTATAAAATGAATTGCTTTAAAAATTGTTAGTAAAACTTCAGAATGCATTACAGAAATTCTAGGGGAAAAAATGTGTTTTATTCTCATTGATATTAGCACAATGAAATAGTACATAAAACAGGCTTAAATAATCAATAAATAATAATTAATTATTTTTAATAATAATAATAATTAATATTTTTTTATTTAATAATTAATAATTAATTTAGCTTTTGAATAAAATATGACCTGTATATTATTTAATGAGACTTACTCATACAGATTAAGCTAAAAGCTAATTAAAAAACATGACTTGTATAAAAAGAGTAATCAAGATGCTACTCACAGGCTGTTGACAGGTTCCTGCGGCAACTCCGGGAGACCGTTCACCCCCGGTCCCCCTTCCTGGTTCGGGGATGGCTCCAAGCGCTGAAACATTAATGGCGTTCGGTTCTGTGTAAGATACGAACATGGCCTGCAGCTGGGATCAGACACACTTATGGGATATGGGGTAACACACACAAGCCACCGTGCATTACACAGGTGGTGGGGTACCAGACAGCAGAGGTCACCCAGAGGGCACCATGGGAAATGGATTCCTCCAGTGCCCTCGTCAACCTGAATGGAGTAGCCCATTGGGGCTGTGCTGTCTAGGTAGGTGCTGATGGCTCAATGCATTTCCATCTAACCCACCAAAAGATATATGGGTGGTAGTAACAGTTTGGGCGTGCTACAGTGAAGATCTAAGGTTCATACTTACAGAACTACAGGTTCTGGGTGGATGATACATAAACTATGAACACTAGAAATCTCAGAGACCGTGGTAGCCCAAAGGTTACACCAAGAACCTCCCCTCAACATCCATTAATGAACATATCGGCTAAACAAACGTGTCCACACGGAGGGAGAAAAGATTCCATGTTAGTGACTGATAAATCAACCTTACCGATCAACGGATGGAGGAAAACAAGACAAAACAGAGACAAACAGAAGATTACACACAATAAAAAAGAACAAGAGACTGACAGTGGATCCACAATGACAAAAAGTATGGAAACAAAAAGAATTTTTGAATTTAAAAGAATTAGATAGAAGGAGGAAGTAAAAAATACAAACAAGTTTACAGACAGGCATATAGAGACATCAAGGATGGATATAGAGAGTGAGACAGCCACAAACGCGCGCTGCTGATGTTGAGAGGGTGGTGCTGAGGTACAAGTGCAGACAGGTAAAGAGACAGACAGGGATTCAGGTGAGGCAGGATACAAACACATATTTAGATCATTCAATGATGCCAGCAGAGTGTCCATGCTCCAAGTATAACTAATTCAATTTTCTATATGGACAATGAGAGGCAGAAACAATGGACACTGTGCCTGTTCGGGATGGGAATATTTCAGGGGGCAGGAGTGACACTGACAAAAGGCCATGTTGTATCATTCATCATTGCATATTCATTGCAAAATTACTGCATGTGTTTTTAAGCATGCTCTAACTCTGTAAATAAAATGTTAAATAATCATATTGATCTAATGTATAACCAGTTTTACTGTTTGCATGCCATAAAAGCACTGAAATATTAGGGGTGTGTATGATTATCTTAAGGCTCCATGTGGGACGTGACATAAAGTACTGTGTATACTGAGTTGGCAAGATTTTTAAAGAAATTAATATTTTTATATCAAGCATTTATAATATTACAAAAGTGTTTTCTTTCAAATAAATGCTGTTGTTGTTTTTTTAAAACTTTCTATTGATCCAAGAATCCTGAAAAATGTATCACAAAAAATTTAAGCATCACAACTGTATCCAAAATGTATAAGCAAAAAATCTGTAGGCTATATTAGAATGATTTCTGACACTGAAGACCTTAAGACGGAAGAAAATATATTCAAATAGAAAACAGTTATTTTAAATTGTAATAGCATTTCACTATATTCCTGTTTTTACTATAGTTTTGGTCAAATCAATTGACCCTGTTGAGCATAAGAGTATTATGCTATTCTTTTTAATAGTCCTTTTTTAAAAACCTTACCAGCCCAAACTTATCTAAAAAATCTAAAAATGGCTAATTTCAGCTTAAAATGTGTGAAGTGTGAGGGATGCATTGGCTGTGTCTGAGACTGTAGGCAGCTGCCTATCTTTGAACAGTTTTCAACCATGTATTTTGATGCATATTTAAAGATCACATAAAAAAGCCGCATGGAAGCTCAAGATGCAAATAAAATGTGCACAAAAACTGCAATGCTCACTTCTAAAAAGTAGAACTTACAAGTTAAGAAATCAAGTAAGAAAAGCCAAATTTAAAATTAGATTTTTTTTTAAAAAAAAGTGCTGTTAGCAATGTTGATTAGCAAAGTGAGGAAGTTTCCTCTGCAATGTTAATTAGTGAAGCGAATCAGCTGCAAACTTGGCTTAATAGGCTAAATGATTGATTTGCTGGGAGAAGAGTGGCAAAAGGTTGAGAAAGCAGAGCAGACTTGGCATTTGTTTGTTTGTCTGAGGCGGTACCTGCTCCTCACGAAGCACCTGCAGCTTTTTGGCCTTGCTCTGCCGGTAGTACTCCATTATCATCATGGCGGCGTAGATCTTGCCCACTGTCAGGTCTGTCGCTGCTGAGAGGATGAAAAAGTTAACCTGCACAATTAGACCGGGTTGGAATGGGACCCTGAGCCGAGAGGGGAATGGGAGTTGGAGACAAGGCATGCCACAAACACTAAGGTCTAGTCTCTCAGACCCAGACAAAACTCATTCACGACCTCAATGAACCAATAGAAGTTCTTCAGAGTCTCAATCTGGGTCTGAGAATCTGGACAACAGGTATACAACAAAACTTACACAAATAAAGTGGCCCCAAAAAGCACTTAGACACTAGAGTCACAGTTAAACATCTATGAATATTACCAAATATCAAACCAAGTGGTATTTGCAAAAAAAAAAAAAAAAAAAAAATTATGCTAGATATTTTCCCAGAACTAATTTCCAATTTCCAAACCAATTTTTGAATGCTTTTTGTGAAATATTTTGTAAAAAAAAAAAACATGCTTTGCACTATCTTTCTTCAAAATAAATCCCACCTGGTATTTTGATATCAAATGCAAGGAATTTCTTACATGTTTAGTCTGGCTTAATAATATAAATACTTTTTGGGGATACTGTATTATATTGTATATATATATTGTATTATATTGTATATATATACTCATACACAATTTACATTATACACAATATTCACTGTACAAAGTTCACTGACAAATACAAAACGCCACTGAGCTGATAGTCTTTTCACAATCAGATCCTCATTAATTAAAGAACCTCTCATTTTACTCAACCTTTTACTGCTTCACATTTCTAGGCTGTATTACATTCCTACAGGGACTCAAGAGCCATTTTACTATGAATAGATGCAATTAAGAGTACCCTATTTTGCAAGCTGCTCAAATTTTTCATCAAAACTCTGCAGTGGCATCCCGAGTTTGAATGAGACATATAACATATAAATTTGAAAAAATTTGAGCTGCCACAAATGACAAAAAAGCAATCCCTCCACGTCAAACAATTGCCTGTTAGGACAATTTCATAGTAAAATGGCATGAAAAACCCAAAGGATTGACAATAAAAAAATATAACTAAATTTTAAACATGCTAAAATTTTCAAAAGAACACATGCCAAAAGAAAGCATACAAAAGCATTTCCAGGCTACTTGTACTTAAACAGATTTTCATATATTAAGGTCATCACATCAAACTCTAAAGTACCTAACATCTTTTAACAGCATTGGATATGAGGTACTAACTCGGGCTAGTTTATGAGGCTCTGTGATTTGGAGGTTTAGCCCAGCTTTGTGCTTTACACATGCTGGAGTGAAAAGACTTCTATAGAGGATCCGTCTATAGCGAGGCACCCCCTGATAACAGGCAATGAAGATAGGAGAAAGGAACAGGGAGAAAAAGAAAGAGGTTGGGGAAGGAGATGATATGTTATGATAGAAGTGGGATGACTATGTAGAAGGCCTAAATTTGGATAGCGAAATGGATGTTTACTATTCTAAACAAACTACTTGAGTCACACTGAATATCTGATCTTTATGAGCAATAAATCTACCTGGAAAGCAGGGTGGTTTTAAATAGAAATAATATGGAAAAGCATGGTATTCCTGATCTAATTAACAGTGTAAGTGTGTGGACGGGAGAAAGATTGTGAGATTGTTGCCTGATCAGAGGGTGCTGAGCGGTGTGGGCTGAGAGAAGCTGTCCTCTGATGAATTAGTGATATTTGATTCGTTTGTACTCTACAAACCCATCTGCAACTTACACTTGTGTGGCGTTACCAGCAGATCCAGGTTCTTCTGGGACAGATTTGGCCAAATCGCCATCATTTCCTTACGGAGCTCCGCGTCCATCTGGTGTTTGTCTGCGCCTCCTGAAAGTGTGTGACGTCAGGGCAATGTGCATACATGTAAGCAAACACATACGTATAGATCAACAAAATATGCAAATACACCAAAAGCACAAACATCACAAAAAACAAAGTTAAAATTCCATTCATTCCGAATATATACACACACAAACACACACACAGGAAATGTTGTTTTGGTTAAGTTTTCAAAAGAAAGAAAGAGCATATCTGACAAAATCAAATCGGCTTAAATTTGTGTAAAACTAGAATAAAAAAGTTAATAAAATACAGTATACAAGAAAGGGGGATGTCGTTCTGTACCCTTGGCGATTTTGATGTCCAGAGCTGTGCGTATCAAAGCCATCAGAGTAGAGTTGAAATGCACCGTGTTATCATCAGCAACAGGAAGGTCCATACGTAGCAGTCTCTGTGGAGAGCCAATCAGAGGGGATGAGGGCGGGGCTGTGTAAGTTAAACCTCCAATCAGATGCTTTGGTGGACTAATAAAAGGCTTGGGGAGCTCAGCAGTCTGTAGCCAAAGAATAAACTTCTAGCCACACAAATTTCACTAGATTAAATAGATTGTAGTTTTGACTTTGTTTTGATGCAGTGGTTGTGTACAAACCATGCATCATGCAATTAATTTTCAGGTGATACTCATACAACCACACAATAAAGGGAGATTTCGGTGACATCTGTGAGGGCAGTTTTCTTAGACTGACAAATGATTGACCAATACACATCCTGCAACCTTGTAATGTGTGAATGAACCATTCACACATCTTATAGAACATATACAATACATACACATCAATTAAGTAACTTAATTGGAGCCCTCACAGATAACAGGAGCAGTATCACACAGGTTGTAGTTCCTCAGTGTTCCTCTGCCAGAGAAAACTGATCTCAGATCAGACATAAATATCACTCATTGTTTGCGAATGCCACTTGGTTTGATATACTGTATCTAATGCAAATGTATAGACCATTTCACAAGATGTAAACAACACTGGTCCAGAAGCACTTCCTGTTTCAGTTTTTTAACACTACATAAAAGCTGGGATAAAATACAGCCAACAGAACATATAAAACTGAATCAAAAAGTTAAACAAACATCTTTAAGATGTATTGTTTACATGTGAAATAAAGAAAACAGTTACAAACTGAAACAGGAAGTGCTTCTGGACCAGTGTTGTTTACATCTTTTGAAATGGTCTATACATTTTAAAGTACTTTTTAGTGCAATTAACAGTACGTTACTGACCCTGAATCAGCTGGCAAAGGCTGAGGAAACAAATATCAGCTAAATTTGACATTTATTTCAAAAGACTACTGCTAAAGAGCTCCCCCTACCTGTTGGAGGTTATATATTTTGGACAAACCAATGAATGAAAGGGCACCTAAAAACAGCAATTTTTAGATGCCTATTTCCATGCATTGGATGTACCTTCATGGAATTGGAACACACAAGCGCACCACATGGCATTAGTGTGAGAAAGTGAGCAAGTGTGAGCCTGTGTATACGCGTGTGCCCATTTCAGACCAGTCCGTCGTTCCTTGGAGGTGTAAATACCAACGAGCACGAGCCGGGTTCCAGTGGTGGTCATGCAGAAGCGCATGCAATGCAGCACAGCAGGACCCCAAATTGGAGTTTAGTGGCGACCAGCCCTCCCCAACGGTCCCGGCCCACCCGAACATCAACCCCTACTTCATGCAGCATGCAGTGCATGCACCCCCCTCCTCCCTCCCCATCCCTCACAGAACAAGAGCAGTGCAGCCGCGCAGAGAGAGTATCATTTCATCTTTTATTGACCACTTGTTTTTTGGGTTAGTTTAGCATCTTTCATTGGGTGATTTCTCATAGGGTTAAGTGATTTTTTTTCTTTTTTCTGATCTCTCGATGCAAAACGGGTGCAGTTTTTTTTAAGGTCAGATAAGGGGTGGCATTCCCTACAGAGTTAAAGAGGAAAAATGGCTGTGTTGTACACCGAGAGGTGTAGGACTGGATTAGGGGCAACAGGTATAGAGGTTAGTTCACTTCAGACTGGAAAGCTATGAGATATGCACCACATATAAAAATAATGAGAAGGGGGGGGGGGGGGAGTGGTGTGCTTGGCAATGGATAGAGAGAAAGTCTGAGAGGAGAAAGAGAGCAAAAAAGAAGAATGTTGTTTGTTTGAGATGAGGGGAAATCAGAGAGAGTGGAAAGTGAGAAGAAGAGGTACAGTAGGAGTGAAGGGAGCCTCAGTAAAGCTTTGAGAGCTTGTAACTTCACAAAATGTCTTCCACATTAAAATTGTCCATGCTGGCATAGAGGAAGTCCGTTCACTGGATCTTAGTCAGTGTAGACGCCAGATGTAATTAGACGTAAATTATAAAAGTGCAAGTACTGTCTGTCCAAGTACAACCATATCGCTGTGTACAGCTGATGAAACATGCAGTGGACAAAAAACTCCAGAAAACTATTACTTGCAAAAATATTTGTAGTGTGAACAGTAAGAAAATGAAATATGATGCTTCCAATCTCTTTCTGAATGGTCACATGAGAAATCAAGTATTTTTTTCCTCAGAAAAATGTGAAATATCTGAAATATTTTCAAAGCTCACTCTGTCCCCAAAAACCCCACCGTTCAAAAGTAAATTTTTTTCTAAAGAAATTAATATTTTTTATTTAAAATATATTTATGTACATATTTACTGTGTGACTACACAGTATTATATCAAAAATGATTTGACTGATTTCTGAAGGATCATGTGACACCGAAGACTGGAAAATCATATTTTAAAATATCAAAATAAAAAACAGCTATTTTGAATCGTAATAATATCTCACCATAATATTTATGCACAATATATGAATTCTTATTATATTTCTGATTTAAATAAATGCAGCCTTGGTGCATAATATAAGATAAAATCTTACCAACCTCAAACTTTTGCTCTTTTCACTATGCAGAAAATAGTGAATGGTGTAAGAACAAATCATTGTTTTGTACACAGTATAAGCATGAATTGTATTTAAAAGAGACTACAGTACACAGATATACATCATGGGACATTATTTACAGTCTCCAACTGCAAAACGACAGACAAATAATATTTTGTATGAAAAAAAAAAAAAAACTAACAACATGGCTCTGGTTTCATTCACCTCAAATTAAACAAACCATCATCTAATCTGACTAAGGTCCATGGCCTATAATGAACATGTAATGACATGTAAAATGGCTGGATGTAACCATAAAGATGCATTCAGATTATTACTATTTGCATACGGTAATTAAGCAGCACGCTGACTAAAGTGAAGAGGGATGAGACAGGATGTAAGAGAGAGAAAGAGAGAGAGCAGGAGAAAGAAAGGAGAAGGATGCAGAGATGTCGTGGCTGAAAATGCAAATTGTGGCGAATGTGGGGGGAAAGAAAAGATAGAGTGAGAGACAGTAAGACAGAAAGAGAGAGGGGAACGGAAACAGGTCAGAACTGCATTGACAGAATCAAACGAAGGACAGGTGGGAAAGCTTATCTGTGATTCTAGTGGATTTGCTGAAAAAAATCAAAAGGATAAAGTGGCTCTAAAGACTCCTAAAAGCCTTTAGCTCTAGCTGAACCTACGGAAGTGTCATCTGCCGAACATGGAAAATATACTGTAGACTTTAGGAATCATCCACTGGAGGGAGAGACGCAGAGGACCAAAGGCACACAATCCTTCCCAGTCCTTCTGTACACGCACACAGTGAAACATGTATATTTCTATCTATATGCTTCATATTTTTGTATTTAAAGTTTAACACAGGCTCTATTTCTGCAATCAACATGGAAAACATAATGCGAAAATAATAGTTAAAGTCAACATGAAATTTTACTTCTGCAATGTGATATTCATGAGTGAAACTGGATATTCCAAGAGAACAAAAGTTGTAGGCGACTTGATTTAATTCACTATGAATTCATTTGACTTGTTGCAGAGGAGGAAGAGGAACTATTGATTAACTTTTGATGAAAGATTATGAAGAAAAACTTTTTGGGGTTTGGAATAATATTGCACCAATGAATTAGACCTGGTAAGTGCATAAAAAGAAACTAAATAGGGTCTATTTTGATTTCATGTTGATTTTAACAAATGTCTAAATTAATAAACGCATCATCTCTAGCTCTAAAGTTAACAGTTGCTGTCTTGCAACTAAATCATTTGCATCTGCATGTGAGTGAGTGAGGATTTGAGTACGGTGCAGAAGGGCTGGCAAGGTACCCTCCGTTCCCGCTCTCCAGTGGATGTGTGCGTACGTGTGTGTGTGTCAGCTGGCTAACACTTTCACCAGTACCCCACAATGTAAAAAGAAAGATACAGCAGCTCACCAACACCAACACTAACAGAAAAAAAAAAAACGGACAGCTTTGATTGGCTGTGGCGCACCCACGGCGGGCTGCTGCCGCTAACCTTGTAGGCGACCCGAGCCGGGCACCTCTTTCCCAGGCCTAGCGGAGGACACATGTGCCTGAGCATCTCATACATATCAGTGTAACTGATCCTGCCGCTGTAAGGGGGAGTGGGGTGGGAGGGGAGGGGTGAGACCCCCAAAAATGAAACGAGGAGAACGGGGGGGTTAAAATAGGAGGACAACGAAGGACGAATAAAACAATGGACAAGAAGAGAAACAATGGAGGGGGACAAACCGGAGGATGGTGGGATTTCAACCAAAAAAGGAGAAAGGAGGAGGAAATAAGAACGGCAAGAAGGAAAAACAAAGACACATAGGTTATTTTTTTTTCGGTCTGGGCGAGGGGCGGGGTTTTGAGAGCGTGAGAGCTCTTGATTGGCTGGAGGTTAAACAGGAGGAGGGGAAGCTGGTTTTTAGTCCTAGTAAAAACACTGTTCTATGCGATCGTAGGACGGTCCCATAGAACTGCAGTGGGGCTTCAAACAGGCAAAGAAAAGCTCCGCTGCTTGGTGGTGAACTATGGCAGTCACGTCAATGCAGTCCTCTGATCCCCAACCCTCACTTCGTCCCCAAACAAGAACAATGCACACTGTTACACCCAGTTTGCCAAGGCATGGTTCAACAGCAAGCAGAAAGAAAACAAAATAACAAAATGACTGATTCATTCGATTGTGTTTCAATTTTTTTTTTTTTTTTTTTTGGCTGTTAAGAGTGATTTATTCCACAGAGAGGTTCGTACAGACTTGGCTGTCGATGGCAGTGCATGTCATGCTTCTAAAAAGGTGTCTGCATTGTCCTGCACATTCTCATTTGTCATATCAGAATGCATACAGAGATGGCAAATAAAATAACAAAAATGAATTTCAAGTAAAAGAAGAAAAACTGTGGAGAAGAGTAAACAAAAGTAACTGAAAAAAGAAGAAAAAGAAAAGCAACATTCATTCCAGTCTTCAATGCGAGCAGGTGCTTAAGTTTTTTGTTTAGTAGGATCCAAACCTTGCAGGCCACCCTATGAGGACATTTCTTGCCTAAGCCCAGCGGGGGGTCGATAACCCGCAATAAACTGTACATATCCTTATAATGAATGCGCCCGCTGCAAGAAGAATACAGGGAGGTTAGAGAGGGGGCAAACACAGGAAAAGAGAGAGAAAAAAGAGAGAGCCAAAGAGGAGATGGAGAGGAAGAAGAAAAAATAGTGAAACAAGAAGAGGAGCACAAAGAACAAGAGAATAAAAGCACACATATCCATTGACAAATCACAGACCAAACCCAGTGAAGTTCTTCCACTGCCTCAAACCAAGAGAAAAGCAGATCATTCGAAGGACAGCCCAACCGATTTTAAGCTAGAATAACAAACATGTTCGGGCCATACGAAAGACTGTAACCTTCCTGGAATGGACACTTTTCACAAGACTGTGATGATGAATTTCCACACTAACTAAAACCTAGCAAAAATAGATTTGTTAGCAATATCAGCAAAATTAGCAAGGTTAGATTTTTGTGAATGTTTTGATCAAAAGGACAAACAATGTAGATTTATAATCACAGCCTTCTTTGAACATATGAAGAGTTCAGATGCAAAAGCCTCTAAATGCCATTTGAAATTTTCTTCTTGAATGATGATTTTTTATCAAACTTCAGTAATTTCACTTAAATAACAATTAAGAGGTAATCATCATTGCCATTTAAGTGAAATCACTGAACTTAAATATACAAGCTTGATAAAAAGGGTCATTCTAGAAGAAAATTTCAAATGGCACTTAGAGGCTTTTGCATCTGAACTCTTCATATTTACCCAGGGCGCAAATAATTCAAACCAAATATTATAAACTAAATAAATAAATGCATAGAAGCATGCTACAGCCATTATTTACCTCTTAAGACAGTTCTCATGCTATAGTTTACTTCCGTAATAAAAACCTGGAAATGTGAAAAGGGGCCATTGTCTTGGATAAATTTAATCATGCATGTGAGGGTTACTGTAGCCGAGATTTCAATGCATGTCAAAATCCAGTGCAATAAACCCCAGCTATATGCATGTGAGTGAAATTATCAGAGAAAAACAACAACAACAACAAAATTGGTCCAGCTGTCCTTGAATGATCTTTAGTGCTGTTCTGAATCCTCCCCCTATCACGGTGCCGAGTTAACGAATCCACAGATGAGACCGTGCACATGAGAGGCTCTCTCATCTTTACGAGTCCAATGACTTAATTGAACTGCATACAGTGACAGCTGCGTGGACTTTACAGGCAAAATACATGAGGTGTATTTTGTTAACGTTTGTATGCAGTGGCAAGTACAGAAATAAGCTGCGACAGCTTGTCTGTGAAGATGTTTGCCATGCACACCTGAGCCATAAAGATGGGAGAATTAAGTCATTGTGAAGTCAGAATCTGCCATGCACAGGGTCTTACGTTCAACTCTCTCTCTCTCTCGCTTATATTCTTTTAAATTACTCCCTCTCATTCTTGCTGTATTTCTTATACGCATTTTTATTATTTTTCTTCTTGAGCTTCTTCAGACCATCTCCATGTGCTCCTGCAGAATAGCACTTGAGAATGAGGCAAGCACTGGGACGGGGGGGGGAAGCGGGAGACACTACTGACTGGGCAGACACAGTTTGTGCAATTGGGCTCATCTACATATGTGACAAGAAATCAGACTGCAGTTGTCACATCAGCCCTAGGAGGGATTTAAAGACAAACATTGGGGCATTTTGAGAGATTGAGATCCACTATTTGTGACAGGGCTTTATCTTGAGTGACCATGGACAGTATTTTGGGACATTTTGGGGATGTTTTCAGTAACAAAAGACGCAAGAGCTATGGAGAAGAATGGTTACATTTTAAGTTAGTTTGTGTGCACATATCTGTCATAAAAATATCTAGAATGTTATAGTTTGTTAGCTTGCAGAAAGCATGTTTTTAAAAAAATTGTTGTTATTAGGTGTTGCAATTGATTTAGGATTTACATTATACAATTTAAAGGAAAAATCAATGCTTGCACGTGTGTCTATAGGCCCGTTTACACCTGGTCACTTCATGGGTTTTCTGTGATCGGATGGCTATCTAAATGCATTTGAGATGGATTTAAATCAGGAGGTGGTCTGGGCCGCATTCCAGATGACACTGGACAAATGTAAATGCATCTGGTTGTTGAAAACACATGCAAATTTTACTCCTCCAAACAATGCTAAAAATAAACGTGTGAGGGCGTGTTATTGGCTACATGACATGTTTTAGCCAGATGTGATGGCGCTACGGCTAAGTACCGCTAAGTATCTCTTCATCAAACCCACAAACTACTGCAAATAAAACTGAAAGTAAGTGGCAGACGCTTAACACACAATCATCTTAATTAAAAGTAAAGAAACGAAATGATCTTACCCGTGCTGATGTCGCTCTCTGTCCTATTGCGGTCTTTGATTTCGAAATAAGCTGATAATCAATAAAATTCAGCTCATAACTGTTGCTTTCGGTGACGTGAACTCCGTGAATCTGCTCATAGCGCGGGAATTCGGATTAATATCCATTTTGCGAAAACACATTTAGTGTAAATGGAATCATTTTATTAAATCAGATAGCTATCCAATCAGTAAAAACGCATGAAGTGACCAGGTGTAAACGGGCCCTAAAAGAATGTGAGCATCTTTAAAATGTGTTTTTGTTAGAAAAGTGTGTGTGACATACAAAGTTGTGCGTGCAACTCACCAGGCAGCTGGGTCGTACTCTGCCCATATCCTGACATACTCATCCAAATGATGTGGACCCAGGATGGAGGAGTCCCTGGTCAAGTACTCAAAGTTATCCATGATGACAGCAACGAAGAGATTCAGCATCTAAGCACATAAACAGACCGCCCCAAAAACATACTTGAATCTGTTTACTGAACAGTAAAGACCCTTATTCATCGTCTGGTGTCGTTTAAAGCCCCTTGAAGCTGCACTGAAACTTTCATTTGGACCTTGAACCGTTTGGTTCCCATTGAAGTCCATTATATGGAGAAAATCCTGGAATGTTTTCATCAAAAACCTTAATTTCTTTTCAACTGAAGAAAGAAAGACATGGACATCTTGGATGACATGGGGGTGAGTAAATTATCAGCAAAAGTTTTTTTTAAAGTGAACTACTCCTTTAAGTACATATCAAATGATCTATAACAAAGCAATAGGAAGACAGGACAAACAAAAAAATGTTTCAAAAAAAGTTGTGTTGAGCAGTTCCAGTCAGATCCAAAACAGAATTTTAAATTTCAGTCTCTCAGCAAATCCTTCATCGAACTGTGCCTTGTTTACAAAGGAATCTGAAGTAAAATGTAGCAAACAAATGGACAGCTTCTTACTAACTTTAAATCCTTACGTTGGGATCTGAAGGAAGGAAATGCTACGACTGAGTTTTTCCACAACCTGGGACTGCACAAAGTCTTGCCGTCCCCGAAGCCATCTTGATCGCTTGTTAGCTCTAGTAACCTAGCGTTAGCGTCTCTGTGTTATTTACCTACTACATGGCATAAGCAATTCAGTGGCCGGGGCTAAAAAGGTAACTTTAAAATAAAAGGTGTGGATCTTCTTCGGCAAAGGCGGTATTTTATGGCACTATGGCGCCACAATTACACACTTTTTCTCAACTTAGTTTCAATAAGCTGTTTTTGGTATAACTGTCAAAAGATCAAGGAAAATTTGAATTCTTAGTTCATGAGCCTTTAAGGTAAATGAAGGAGTAAAGAAACAATTGGAGGTTGTTCTCACCAGGAAAGAACAGAGGAAGATGAAAGAAACAAAGTATGCATAGGCAAAGTTGCTGCCGCACTCTGGCCCTTCGTTTCCAGATTTCTCATCACATTTCTTTCCACCAAGACATGCCAGCATGATCTCATGCCATGCCTCGCCAGTGGCACTCCTGTTACCAAAACATACACATACATGATATTAAAAAAAGTTTTTGTTAACTGACAAAAAATAGATTATATATACTATTAGTAGGAAAAATTATACTTACAAAACCTTAAAAATAAAGTTCTAACTTAACTTAAATAAAAACAAATTAAAGCTAAACATAAATATTACAAAAATAAAATGACAAAAAGCAGGTTTTGATGGGAAATTGTATTTTGTGCAAATATTTAAAATCTTGCTCCAAAAAACAAAATAGAAAGGTTTAATTGGAAGTACTAAAATTAGTAAAATAAAAATAAATTAAATCTAAACAGAAATTTAGATTCGCACCTGACAAAAACAATATAACTTAAAGCTAAAATAATAATAATAATAAAATATTAATAATAATAATAATAATAATAAAAACAACAACAAGCTAATTCAAAACACCAGTAAAGACACAGGATAGACCTGAAGAGGAGCATTAGGGCCATGATGAAGGTTCTGAAGTTGTTGTGTTCATTGATCGCACTGTCTTCCTCTTCTGTAATATCCAAGTTCCCAAACAACTAAAGCATGACAGAGCGGATATAAAACTTATGCACACATCACGACATTCACAGTTGTGATATCCCAGCAACCATATGCAATTTATATGTGTTGATAGATGGTTTATTTAAGTTTTATTTTGTCTTGATTTAGTTCTCTAAAAACTCACAGTGATGTTAAAGCTCATTTTAAACAGGACAGCTGTTACCTGCATGCCAATGATGGCATAGATGAAGAACAGAATTGCAATGAGCAGACACACATATGGCAAAGCCTGTAAAAAGACAAAAACAGCATGAAAGGTGGAAGAAATAAGACAAATGGCAAACTGTAAAATAGTTTGAGTGTATTTGTCATTATGCTTTTATTTAAAAGCTACAAGACCATAAGAATTTATAAAGAAGTATTACATCTCTACAATCAATACAATGCATCTCTACGATATTGCATGAAATCATGCACTACAATGATTTCATTTTTTTTTGGTTTATTTTTGGATTTTTTTAAAATGTTCAAATCACAATGAATTATAATATTAAAAATAAATACTTTCAAAGAATTAATTCACTCTTTAAATCCCTTTAAGGCAGGTCAGTTGCTTATGCTTTTTTATGTATAGATAAAAGTATTTTTTTTTTTAACTGAAAGGTGGGACTTCAGAGTGCATGACATTTTTGTAAAGGTTTTGGCGTGAAAAATGTTTGCAAATATCACATTGGATTTTGTTTGGGCATTCGTACCTTAAATGACTGAACGAAGGTCCAAAGCAGAATGCGAATGGTCTCGCCCTGCCTCAAGAGCTTAATGAGACGTGCTGCTCGGAAGAGTCTCAGAAAACTCAGGTTTATGAAGTTATCCTAGGGAGATTAGATTGGGACGAATGTAGAAATGGAAACAGAGGAGAATGTTCCAGAAGAAAATGGAGAATGTAAAAGAGACAGAAGATGAAGGGTAAAGTGAAGAAGAAAATCACAATCAGTTTACTTAATGATAACAAATCAGTTTTTAGTCAAATAAAAAAAAAATATAATTTAGAAGGAAAGAGTGGGTTAAAGTAATCAATAAGTTATACAAATATGTTGCATATAAATTTACATAAAGTAATGTATCAAATAAACTTAAAATGGGATTGACAAAAAAAAAAAAAGATCACTACAAAATTATCAAATTAATTCAGTAGGGGCTAAAAAAAACAATCACTAAACTGTAACAGTCATCATCCAATCATATATTAAAGCATAAGCTTATTTTAATCAAATGCACTGATCTGTTGAGACAGGCAAGTCAGAGTATGGAAGCAGCCAGATGCACCGTATTATTTAGGCCTTTGCAAGTTCAGGCATAAAGAATGGAATACCAACAACATAAGCCAATGGGGATTAGCTGCGTTGGTCATGTAATTCTCAATATTCCAATCCACACTCAAAGGTCATGCCAATTATCTTTTAATGACATTTTAAGAGTACTTAAAAATTCACATTTTCAATGTGGTATTTTAACACTTTCCCCACCACTGAAGGAAATGTCCATAATTTGTGAGAAAACGCTCCCGCTCCCCCGGCCCATTGACAGGCTTTCCATGTTTTCACCGTTATACCATAGGGGGTGCTGTTACACCTCTTTTGAAAGAGTACTGAATCTCCTGATCAAGGAGATGCAGAAACAAGTAATCATATGTAAAATAATGCGATCACCAAAAGTACTGCCTATTGTTACGGAATGAAATATTGACCCAGGACGAGCTAGAGGAATGTGCAAGTATTCAAACCCGATCTGCTTTTGATTATTGTTCTGAATGAAATCTGGATGTAGTCTTAGGCAAAAACACGATTTTCTTAGCTTTTTGCTCAAAAAGTTGCTTTTTTAATGACAAAACTTGCACTTGTTTAAAAGCAAAGGGTCAGTTCCTTCTTTTGATATACTGCATGTTCAGATATTCATACAAACAAATATTCTGGAGGCCATGACATTTTTGTGAAAATGATCAAAAACCCTGGCAGGGGCTGGCAATTTAAAAATGGTGGCAGGGAAAGAGTTAAGTACATTTGATATAATCAGTCAGAAAAATGTTACGTTTAGATTTGGTACAATAAATAATACGTCTCAACTGTGTGGACAGGTTATTGAGGATCAATCCCCCATTCCAGCATACACATATTTCAATGAGTGAGATGCAGAGGAGGAACTACAGTACAGCAGAACAGGCGGATGACTCGAGAAAAGGAGGGAAGAAATAAGGTACTGAAAGAAAAGTCATCATGCAGCTTTTTCTAAAGTGCATGGCATTCAGTGATGATATGGTAACGACTGTGACTAACTGTGCAAGTGTAATGGTATTTTTAATGTGTAAAGGCATTTTTATGCAAAAATAATAAGAGCAAAAGTCATCTAATGAGGTCTTTAACCTCTTATAAATACATTTAGGTAAATCAACTTGTCAGTAAAGTTGGTTTAATTTACTAGATATTTTATTAGGGTGTATTTTACATCATTATGGTAATAGTACAGTACATATAATCACAAAAGAGTTCTGCAAAAACAATAGTTGTGTGGTATATACGATATAAATACTGACACATTAAGGTTAAACATCATACCACCCAGTCTTATTTTGTTTGAGCATTTTTTTTATAGCTAATTGAGTGTATGAGCATTAATGTGAGCAGCTGTCCAACTGTCAAGCATCTTTGGGGTTGGGGGTCATTATACTGGAAGCACATGCTTTGAGGAAGGAAGGGAAGGAAGAGCGAGGAATTTTGGGTAATGGATGCAATAGAAGCTGAGAATAAATTACAAACCAACCGGATTCTATGTGTTGTTGCAGTAGATGGATGCATACATGTACATTGAGTGCGTGAGGGGTTTGGATGGGTACATATGAGATGGTAGATATGAGAGTTTCATAGTGCATTTTTGTTTGTTTTGGATTGGATGGGTTTATCGCCAACAAATCAGAGGAACAAAGAAAGCATGTAAAAAGATAAAACAGGAATAAGTCGTTATGGATACAGTCAACAGGCTGATTAATCAAACACAGGTACGGTGGGCATTGATTCACTATAAAAGGCTGTTCCAGTGGCCGAACCATACTTTACTGATTTGACCAGACAGTAAAATATGAGGATTATGACCTAAAAAGCATTTTTAAAAAAAAACCATGTTACAAATACAATGCTAAATAGCGCAGGGGCTGTGTTGTTATTGTTAATTAAAATTTAAATTATTTTATTAAAAAGTCTTAGGTGATTGAAATGAAGCTAAAATTAAATCAAATATTTTTTTAAATTATACAATTTTAGATGAAAAACTGAAAAGTGAAAAGCGAAAATTATAAATGTTATCTTTGCAACTAACTGAAATGTGTTTCAGTTAAAGTACTAACATTACTAAAACTAAAATAAAAATATGCAGCTAAATAGAAATATTAAAATAAAAAAATGGAAATAGAAAAATGAAAAGCACATAACAAAATTACTAAAAGTTAAATTAAAATTAAAATGAAAACTGAAGATAAAATAAAAATGTATTTTTAAAATATGTATAAATAGTTGTATAATAATAATACTGCTCAGTGGAAAGTACACATTGTGTAATGTGTGGCCACTGGGAGAGCCCACAAACTTCAGTGTAACACATCAGAGTAAAGTGTCCGTTTAGTTTTCATAGACAGAGGACACAAAAAGCACAGACAGGAAACAACACCAGCACAAACACACACTTAAACACTGACATTCGCACACAACACCCAGTACAAATACACACAACACTTAGCAATAGCATGAACACATGATGTGAAAGACTGCACGGCTAAAAATTCAAGTAGACAAAATTTTTCAATTTTGCTGACAGGTTTGCATTTAAACCTTCCTCATTAAACATGTAAAATATGAAATATGTATTAAACATGCTATATATTCAGTACTTAAATATTCATGTGTGTGTCAATGCAACTTTTTACAGTCAAAAGAAAGGGAAGTGATAGTAAGAGATGCATTTACAGGGATTAAAAAGAGTATTTATGTACAAGTGGATAAATTCACATTTGTCCATTAAATTTCAACATGAATCAAGATGCAATCTGTATTTGCTTTGTAAACTTGTCTAAAAGTGCACTTACCCCAAACTCTGTCACTAAAATATCTGTGATGCTGCCGATAACGGACACAAAATCAAAAATATTCCAAGCGTCTCGGAAATAATTCTGCAGAGAAACAAAATGAAAGCGTGAGTTAACCAATCATGAGTTCTCGGGGAGCGAGGACCCATATTTTACCCAATCCTGCAATGACAAGACTATTAAAGAAGTATATCCAATCAAATGCCTGTCACCATAGAGACAGGCAGTCAGACAAGTGCATTAGATGTTTTTTTTTTCCCAAACACATTTTTCGAAAGGGGTTAAGGGAAAGAAACGTTTCATAAATATCTAAATAAGTAACCGGATTTATGAATTAATAATGGGTGATATCTTTAGATTGTGCGATGAGTAATGCTACGAAGAGCAGGGATGTATGAATGCGATCAGCGCGACTTACTTTGATACCAAAGGCAATGATTTTCAGAATACACTCCATGAAGAAGAGTGTCGTGAACACAATATTCAGGTTCTTCAGGACTGCATCATACGATTCGGGGGCCCTGTCGTACTGGAAACATAGAGTGATAAAAATGTAGACCGGATGGATGTACAGACATGATTGATACTAGGGGAGGAAGAAGAAGCTATTACCTTCATCATAAGGACGACTGTGTTGAGCGCAATAAGAGCCATGATACTGTACTCAAACGGAGGCGACACCACAAACTGCCACATTCGGTACTGAAAGCTTTGCTTGTTCTGAGGCATGTGGCGCGTTAGAGGTTTGGCATTTATAGCAAAATCAATACAGGCTCTCTAGAAGACACAGAACAACAGAAAACAGTGAAAGAAGCATCTGACATATCACGTTGGATGTTTGTTGCAGTGGAAAGTAAAACTGTGCAGCCGTAAAAATGACTAATGCTCATAGCTGATTTTTTATTTTCACATTAGCATGTGATTAAATATAAAAAATGTGTGCACAAATGTAATCATCTCAATTGAAATGAGACGATTATGCCCCAGAAACACATTTTTTTATATAGATGATTATATACATGTTATATGTTCTATACATATTACATGTTTGTGTCTGTGCTTGGAGTGTCCCATTTGTACAAAAATATTTTGTATATTAAATTCTTCTTCTTATTATTATTTTGTGCGTGGCTCTCTCTTGCTCTGTCATCCCTTGTGTTTCCATTTTCGCTGTCAATCATCAATAACCTGTGTGACGTCACTGTTTTTGCTGCTCTTGTTTAGTCTAACCTTTTGCTAGCGTGTACTAACAGTGACAATCTTTACTTGTACCGTTTTTGTTTTGTCATCTTGCATTTAATTAATTTTTTGTCATTAACGATTTTTTTTTATTATTATTTGTTAACTAAACTCTGTCCACAATCTCGGATATCATTTAATAAACACAATGCAGTTGAAGGATTTACAGGATGTTGCCTGAAAAATAGCAAAATAGCAATTACCTCATTCTTTTCGAGGCTGTAGTCCTCCATCATCTTGTCTCCTTGCTCCTGGAAAGTGATGATGATGAGAGCTACAAAGATGTTTACGAAGAAGAAGGGGAAGACAACGAAGTACACCACGTAAAAGATGGACATTTCCATCCGGTACCCCGGGCTCGGGCCCTGGTTCTCATAAGTGGAGTCCACAGAGTGCTTCAACACCCTGAAAGAGAAAAGAAAGGAAGAGGCGATGACACCAGAAACGACACACAAGCGCTTATTTGTGAGTGAATGCCAACTCACTGCGGCCATCCCTCTCCAGTGGACACGGTAAAGAGAGTAAGCAGGGCCCAAAGCACGTTGTCGTAGTGAAAATCGTACTTCTTCCACTCCCGCTTCTGGGATTTGACCTCATTATTACGCTCATACACCAAATATTCGCCCCTGAAACACAAATACACAAGAAAAACTCAACAAACTGCCTTTTTTCATGATGATGGGTGAGTATAGAGCAGTTCACACCTAGGACGATAACTATAACGTTTTAGTGATTGTTGTAATTCTATAACGGATATGCAACGGTAATGGCACAATATTGTTGGAACAACTTTTTAGAGCTAAACAATGATAAAAACATTGACGCCAATCAGAATCCACCCGTCTTTAAAGGGATAGTTCACTTTGAAATTAATTTTTGATATGTTTTAGCTTACCTCAAGGGCATCCAAGATGTAGGTGTCTTTGCTTCCACAGTATTTTCAATTTTGATATTTTTAGGTGAAACCGTTGGTGTCTATCAGTCATAAAATGGAGGTCTATGGGGTCCAACTCAAAGAGCATGCACAGACAAGTCCAAATTAAACATGATTCAAAGACTCATAAATGTAAATACACATTGACGGCCTAAGACACGAAATGAGCGGTTTTTGTGAGAAAACAAACAGTTTTTATATAGAATTTACCTCTTGTAACCACAGCCACGTCCAAGTAATCTGAGGACGTGGCCGCTTTGTGGCTGTGTTTACAAAAGGTAAAAATGATATAAATACTGTTCGTTTTCTCACACAAACCGCTCATTTCGTGTCTTAGTCCATCAATGTGTACTTACATTTATGAGTCTTTGAATCATGTTTAATTTGGACTTCTGTGTGCATGCTCTTTGAGGTGGACCCCATAGACCTCCATTATATGACTGATAGACATGAACGGATTGACCTAAAAATATTAAAATTGAAAAAACTGCTGAAACAAACACACCTACATCTTGGATGCCCTTGAGGTAAGCTAAAACATATAAAAAAATATTTCAAAGTGAACTATCCCTTTAAAAAGTTCAAACATTTAAAGTGGCAAATGACAGCACATGCTTATAATAAACAGACGCATTGGTGTGGATGCTAATATGGTTATCGATAAAGTTACATTTATAGTTATCATTGGTGTGATCGGACCTTAAGTGTATTACTGTAGACCATGTCGCCAGATGTTTTTTTTATTAAAATCATCTTTAATTGCAGGTCATCTCTCCTTACCTGCAGTCACGGGCGAACTCTTTGGACTCGTCGGTACAGTAGAAGAATCGTCCCTTAAAGAGCTGCACGGCCACCACAGCGAAGATGAACATGAACAGCATGTAGACAATGAGGATGTTCAACACGTTCTTCAGAGAGTTTACTACACAGTCAAACACCGCCTAGGAGAAAGAGACGAATGAAATTAGGATACTGCACTAATGTAGCAAACAAAACGTGAAATCAGGATGATGCGATAACATGCATCCCAGATGTGTGCGTCTTTGAATGTACTTTTAGTTTAGGAAGACGTTTGATGGTCTTGAGTGGACGTAGCACCCTTAGGACCCTCAGAGACTTGATGACACTGATGTCTTTCCCCTTACTGCTCCCCCTGAGGAGTGGAGGCAAACAACAGGACATTAACATGCTGTACAATGAGACCGAAAGAGTGATAAGGACATTTTGAAAGACCGTCTCCATCTATTTTCATCACATTTCACTTAGATCATTCTTTGAGCTTCCATTTTACTCTTAATGTAGAAGATAGTTTCAATATCACCATGCAACAGTTAATACTATTATATGTACATTATTGTTGTGGAATGCTTATTATCAAACATCTCTTTTTTCTTCAAGCAAGTTTTCACAGGCCTTCAGATTCTCAACCATCGATGGTTTTTGGTTTACTTGTTTTCTACTCTGGACATTCCAAAAGCATAACACATTCAAGTAAGTATCAAAACTGTCAGGCATTTTCTGGTGCAATGCCCAGCCAAACCTCTTTCTTTCTTTTTTTTTTTTTTAGTTTTTTTTTTTTTAGCTGTGTTAGAGCAGACAAGGGAATGGAGGTCTGGGATATGGAGGCTGTTTGTGTTAATTGTAGGTAACATGACAAGACTGAGGGTTCACTGAGATGCAAGAGGCTAGCGGACTTGAGTCCAACTGTATCTTGTCCCTAGAAGAACTTGAGGAAGCTCAAACCAGGAGACAAAGACAAGTTAAAAGGACATTTCGTTGCATTCAAACCAATAAGGGAAACAAAATGAAAAACTGTCAGTATATTTCCTGCCATTTGGATTTTTACAAGAAAATCGTCAAGAAATGCTTGCCATTTTGAAGAATTTTTGACCAGGAAACTTGATGTGTAGTGCCATAGTCTGTCTACACTGGAAAACTGAAAAAAATTGATTATCCTAAAACATTCATGAACACGGATCAATCGGCTGATCAAGGTTAAAAAAAGAATTGCTTAATTGCTAACAGAAATCAGGGGGAATTAAATGGACTTTGCATGAGTTATATTCAGTATATATATATATATATATGACATGAAAATAAACGAATGCTTGGTAAATAAATAAAAACAAACTAATTAAAAATAAATATAAAAAAGAAAATAATGAGGTTAATAATGGGTTAATGATGAGGTTATTTAAATTTATAACTAGTGCTGTAAAATCACATCTAACATAAAGGTTGCGTATAATGTAATATATGTGTGTGAATATATCATATATAATTAAGTATGTGTGTACATGTCTGTGTGTGTATAGACCATTTTGCAAGATGTAAACAACACTGGTCCAGTAACACTTCCTGTGTCAGTTTGTAACTGTTTTCTTTATTTCACATGTAAAGAAAAAAATCTTAAAGATGTTGTTTAACTTTTTGATTCAGCTTTACATGTTCTCTTGGTTGTATTTTATCCAAGCTTTTATGTAGTGTTAAAAAACTGAAACAGGAAGTGCTTCTGGACCAATGTTGTTTACATCTTGCAAAATGATCTATATATATGTATATACATACACATACATACAGCATATGCATCTATGTATGTACACACATTATATAATCACGAATAAACGATTTGACAGCACTATATATACTAATAATATTCAAAGTAAAAAAAAATACATTTAACATTTGTCAATAAAGTTATTTTATTTTAGACAGATGGTGGCGTGGCTGGAGTAGATAAAGTACTGGCATTTCTAGTGTCTATTAAATGATAATGTTAGTGATGATCTTGAATCCAGTGTAGACAGTGTAAGCCATCAAGCATGAATCCTTATTGAGCCAAGCTCAGTCTTATGAATGTGGCAGAGTATTTACACAGGTCCCAAACACAAACAGAAGTGAACTCTTCAATCAAGCGGCCAAGACAGCTGTCTTTAACTAAATTTCCAGGCAAGTCCCAGCTGAAGACCAGCCAGCTCATGACAGATTGATTGAGTCGGAGCATTGGAAAAGGTCCAGGTTACCAATAATCAATTACTCGCTCCTGACTGTGCTCAGAGAAAGGTGTGCAGTACTGTAAGCAGTGTACAAAAGTGTGATCTCTTCTGTAACTTTGTGTTCAGACGCTTAGGTCCACAGATGGACCCGTTATAACCAATGTAAGTCACGGCAGAATAAAACAAGCAGTGGAATGGAGAGAACCAGAGTGGATGAGCAAAGAGGAAGGGAGGAGCAGGGATTGTCGGGAAGGGAAAAAGAAAGAAAGAGAGAGAAGCCATCGCGTGAGCTGGACGGTAGCCGTGCGACAATAAGGAGGGGAGACTTTACCGAGAGAGGCTCCTGTTGATCACCAAGGCGTAGACATAAGAGAGGTCAGAGACAGACAGTGGAAGAAAGAAAGAGACAGAAAAGAGAGGAATACACACACACACACACAGAAAAAGAGAAAGAGAGACAGAAAAAGAAACAAGATACTGGGAGTGGTTTGCAGAGGAACAACATCAATATGAGAGACAGACAAACAGAGAAAAAGGACCAAACCAAAAAAACTCCAGCGAATGATTAAAAGAGTTGAAAGCCCCCGTGTTCAGATATTTAAAACTACAGAACAAGTCAAACTACATTAAAGATGCACCAAGCAATGTTTTACACATATAATCTGACAAATTATTGCAAAATTGATCATCTGCATTGGTAATTAAAAAACAACTGCTTTTGTGTGATTCCAACAGTGGTCTATATTGAAGCTTTGCTCAGTGCGTCTTTAAGTAATGTATTCCAAAACATTTCTATAGACTCAAATAACTGACCCTTTGCCAAGCGCTGCCTACTTGATTACTTTTATTCGCTGACACAAGCTTTACAAAGAGTCCCATAGGTGTGAAATGGAGATTTTCATGAAATTCATCTATATATGATTATTTCCATATTTGATTAATAATGTTCAAATAAAAATTAAAAATTAAAAAAAACAATTCCTCCATAGATGCATATTAGTCAGCAACAGTTGCTAAGGTGGGGTTTGCCAGTAATGTTGGAGGCAGGGATTAACTAAGGGTCAATCAGTCTTAAAATCCAGACGAAATCCTTAAAAATGTAGAAAGCTGTTGAGAGATCTAATAAACATAAGTAGTGTACAGTTCTTCTAAGATAAAATCATATCTATCTGATCATTTCACAAACAAGCTCATTATCTCTTAAAACATTATTATATATATCTATCAATAATCAGTTTTCAGAATCATAATAATAGATATATGATCATATTTTATTATGTATTATTAAATACAATAATAAAATCTAATTATATTACAATAAAATATACAAAAATTATAATAAAATGAATGTGTGTACTGATTTGCTGATCAAATTTAGCTGCTTTATTAGTGATTAACTCATTGCCACACACACACACACACACACTGAGTGTGTGTGGCAATTTCAAGCATGAGTCTGTTGCTCTTTGCCCTATTGACTCTGACTGAATCATTCTCACACACTAACCCCTGCTAGGTATTTGGCAGGTCTTTACTCTGGGCCTGTCCCTAATCAATAACTAAGGATTCAAACTTGTCACACTTATAGATTAGGACAACCCACTGCAGTAGGAGAGAATCCTCCCTCTGCCATGCCAACTCTGAGAGCAGAGGGAGATTCTTGCCACCTTACCCCTGAATCAGCACCCTGTATCAGACACTTGAGCCAGAATGGAGGTGGAATCCATAACTGACTGCAATGGAGCCAAAATGGCCGCCACACTGCTGTCTCCTCAAGGTGGCAGTGTTTTACGGTATTTATTTGAGTAACTTTCAAGCAGCACATACAGTCCACAACCCCACACATACCTAATTTAACAATCCAAACTTCCAGCACCTATTTGTTTACATGCTTCGCAGGTATTTGTAATAACTTCATTCTTTATTCTAAGAATGAAGGTGCCAAAAGCATAATCATTTGTTGAGTCGTTTTGTGCTTATTGTGAGACTATTAACAAACCGGCAAGCCTTTCCTCCACCAAACCAAGGAATTCTGGGTAATCAGAGATGCTTGTGTGTCATATGACCATGCCTATACCCAGAATACATCCATTTAGAAAACATTAAGCAGTGGAGAAAACAAGACTTAAAGCAATAGTTCACTCAAAAGTAACATTTTGCAATTATTTATTCACCCTTATGTTGTATCAAACCTGCAAGATGTTTTTTTTTAAACCATGGAACACAAAATGAGGCATATTGGGGAAAAAAAACAACATACAGGTTTGAAACAGCATGATAGTGAGTAAATAATCACAGGTTATAATGAAACGGTATAACCTTTCATTTCATATGTGCGTGAGTGCGAGAGAGAGAATGAGATGAAGGACAGAAGATGAACAGACGTCAAAAACACCAATTAATGAGAAGCAACTGTCAACCTGGAGTCTTCTTTTCTTGTGTTGCTTTACCATATCCTTCTATATCTCCTGTTCTCTCTATCTCTCCACATCTCTTGTGGTCTCTCTTTTTCACTCACTTTGTCAGACTCAACAAATGGAGGCCCAAATGATAAACAGCTTGACAGCTGGAGTCGGTCCAAGGCAGCTTAGTGCTGATGGAGAAGAGGAGAGGAGAGGAAAGGAAAGGAAAATGGATGGGGAAGAATTGTTTTGAGGAATGAGAACAGGAAGAGACACAGGACAGAAACAGGGTTGAGAGGGTGGAGAGGGTTCATTTAGATTAGGGTCAGGGGAGGGGAATGAAAACCGGCCATTATGTGTGGAGTGATTTTTAACTCAAAGCAGGATTAAAACATATCAGGCCATGTGTATTCAAACATAATGTACGGCCTGATAGGTTTCACTAGAGGCATTCAGCTAACAGTCATTCATATCAGCATACCATGTGAATTATCTTGGTAAATATTTCAGTAAAAACATGAGAAAAAGGGGATATTACTGTAAAGGGGTCATGAACTGGCTTTTTAATTTTTTTTATATTGTTGTCTGAGGTCAACTTATGATGTTCGCTTGGTTTTTACATTAAAAAACATCAAAATGAATAAGTAATTTCTACCCTAGTTTTGAGCCCAGCTCAAAAACGCTCGGTTTTTAATGGGTGTCTCGCATTGAAGATTTGGAAGTAAACACCCACTGCTGTGAGTGGATAACAGTTTTGCATATTTTAATGAGTTTCACTCTCGATCCGGTTTGTCATTACGAGGTAGGGGCCTATGTTATTTAGCTATGCGTGTAATTTGCGAATCGGTGGGCGGGGCTAAACCGGCCATGTTAAAGTAGGCGTCGATCTTCTTCTGCGGGTGTGGTGTTTTATCCTCTTTGACGTCATAGTTCCCCACTTTGAAAAACGTGTCGTTTGCTGAGTCTGGTGTCAATGAAAGCTTTAATTGGACTAACAAGGACGTTTTCAGTTCTAAAACTTACAGGATATTCTTATAATATGATGACCTCTTAGATGTCAAAAGCTCAAGGAAAATTTGATCTCTCAGTTCATCACCCCTTTAATACAATAATTAGATTAAGAAAGTGATTATTAAAAAGTGCATGTATGCTGATAGTTTGACTGATGTACTGTAAATAATCATGTCCACCTTCCTCAGTCCCTAATTTTTATTGCTTGTTGGGGCCATTCTTGCTTGTAAAGACGTTTGGATAGCAAAGTGTTATCCAGCGCAGCTGAAAAAAGAATTTGAACTGAATGGACATGCAATAATGTAAACACCTGCAATCACACATAATAAACAGATAGATGCCTATAGCAAACTATGCATGAGATATTTATTAACTTACCTATTCCTATTATTTTTCAAAAGTCTTGTTTAAAAGTGTGCAGACACATATTTAATGCAACAAACCAGTGTTATGCCATTTATGACACCCAGTAATCCTTTTACAAACATGAAAAACTTGTTTCTTGTATACACATATCTGGCCTATGGGGCTGAGGAGGATGTACACATACTATGATCATACATGCACAACAGACACTTAAAAGAATAACCAAAAAGGGTTAAACAAGAGTAAAAATCATTCCACGCTCAAAGCCCCATCAGCAGTGTTCACTTGCTCTCCTTTCTTAGTGACTAGCTGATCTTCCCACTCTGGGGTTCAGTTTTATTCTTCAACCACTCTCTTTACATCCCCAGGCTGCTGCTCCCCCAGGCCGTGCATAGGAAAGAAACCAGAGTACCTGTGGCAGGACGGGCTCTTGCTGATCCAAACATGGAAACCGCCTGGGCACTAAAGGGCTACAGGTGCCTGGAGACCCCTCACCCCCACAGGGCCCCAAAGGGCACAAAACTACCCTTCTCAGCAGGGGGGAAAGTGTGAGGGGACAAGGTTATGGTGAATACTTGGTTGGTGGAATAATGACGATGGAAAAGAGCCCTGATACTCCAACAAAACAAACATTTTGCTTATGTTTATGGTAGAGTTTCTAAAAAAATCGAATCACTAACTCACTAAATAAAAAATAAATAAAGGAATGTACTAGTAAAAGTTGATTAGATTGATTGATTTATTTTATTAAAACATAATATCTGTTTTTAATTTTACATTGGGTCATGGTAGAGTTTCTAAAAGAATAAAATAGAATCAATCAATCATTAAACTGTATCAGATAAAACAAATATTGAGACGCATATCTGAGATTTGAGCAGAATTCTCCATTTGCTCAATTTGGATCATTTCACTAAGGCCCTGTCCACACTACTGCGTTTTCATTTAAAAACGGAGAATTAAAACGAATACGATCTCCGTCCACACCAGCGTTTTGTCTGCGTATTAAAATTGATCTCCGTCCACATTAAAACGACTGAAAACGCGGATCACGTGACCATTCACCAACACTGGGCATGCGCGCGCCGGTGTAAACAGTGGTTGGCGAATCAGGGAAGGACACGTCATGACTGATGACACCCAATCATAGAGCCGAGCGTGAGCCTCTGCGTCATCGTTTCTAAACTCCTCCGTTTTGTCTCGTCCACACTAAAACGCCCTCCGGAGTTTCAAAACGCAGCTGCAGCGTTTCTAAACTTCTGCGTTTTAGGTCTTCGTTTTTCCCGTCTTAGTGTGGACGGGAGGTGCAAACGTAGCAAAAGGTCTCCGTTTTTTAAACGAAAACGCAGTAGTGTGGACGGGGCCCTAGATACCATTTGTGCATTTGTTGGTTTTGACTAGAGTTGTTTCAGAGAATCTAGTATTTATGGATTGATTGAAAGTCACAGTTAAAGGAGGAAACAAAGAAAAGTTGTTTTAGCACCAGGAGGAAGGACAAGAGTGTGAGATGAGATAAAAGATGAATGGTGAGGGACGAAAGACAGACAGGCAAACAGAAGTGTCGGACACAGTATAATGGAGGGAAAAAGTTTGTGTGCATCACATAGAACTAATGGCAGGAGTTGAATGGGAAAGAAATAGGGCTGAGGCCAAGAAGAAAGCTGGGAGTGCTCATTGGTCAAAGAGAAAATATAGAGACAGACAGGCCAGTCCTGACAGAGCGTGAGTGTGTGTAAAGAGAGAAAGACCTTCATCTTCGTGTCTGATTGAGTGAGAAAGAATGCAAAGCGACCAGAAAAAAAAAAAAAATAGAAATAGAGAGCTCAGAAGAGCATGAAGTGCTGACAGGAGAAGAACAGAGAACGAGACCAAGAGAGAAAGTGGCAGAAACTATTAAAGAGACTCCAAGGTGGCAGCGGGGCAACAGGGTGGCAGAAGAAAAGATAGAGGGCAGAAGGCAGCACTGTGGGGCAGGACACGGTGGAGCAAAGGGCACTTACGTGAAGGCAAAGGCTACCAGGGCACCACTAACCACTACAAAGTCCAGAAAGTTCCAGAGGTCACGAAAATATGAGCCCTCATGCAAAACCAAGCCTAACACAACCATCTGAAACACAGAGCACAGGATTAAAGCAAATAGATAAAATGACACACTAAAAAACCCAGCGCACAAATCATCTCGTGCACACTTTACCTTGATGAGCATCTCAAAGGTGAACACACCCGTGAATACATAGTCAAAGTAACGCAAAACCTGGAAAAAAGAAAGCAAATGCATTGAAATTGTTTGCCATCAAATAGAGTCAACAAAGCAACCAAAACAAATCACGTCAAATCCATTTAAAGTTTTGTCCAAACTAGCTGTTAGGACTAGCTGTTGGTTGCTCGTATTGTTCCGCCCACAGTGAAATTTCATTGGTTCAAAACACTGCAGATGTCAAACATCTGAAATATTTCTAAATTGTTGGTTGTAGTTTCAATATGGGCAAAAAATACTTAATAACAATTTATTGTAAGATTTTATTTATTTAAGATTTATTTGAAAGCACAGCTTGAGACAATGTTAAGAACTCTTCTAAAACTAAATCTCATTGGCCCAAAATACTGCACCACATAGCTGTATTTTGAAAACCCAAAGTCGTTCTGGTTGGTGGTATTTTCAAGTAGGCAGAACATTACTTCTAGAAAGGTTAGAAAGTTAGAAACACAAAAAAATATTCAGAACATTAGTCTTACGTTGTTTCGAGGTGATTCTGGCGATACAGGATCTTCAGCCGCTAATGCAATACTGCTCATAGCGATGACTGACAGAATACACATCTCGAAATAACGTAGCGTCAGTATGTAATGACAGCATCTCCGGAACCTGAAAACCCACATTGGTTATGATAAGTTAAAGAATTTACTTTGCACACATGCACTCACACATTTGAACACACACTTACGGGTTGGTTGTGGATAGAATGAAACAAGAACTGAATGGGGGAATGGGTTTGGGTCCGTCTTCGTCGCCACCATCGTCTTCTTCCTCTTCTTTCTTCTCTCCTTCTTTAGCCGGCTCCGTGTTGGCATTTTTGTTCACTGCACGATGAAGGGAATGTGGGAATGTAAGCTACAAGCTACATTTAACACATTTGACCACATTTAAATTCAGTTTTTCTTTTTAAAATCAATGTAATAAAATGTGATGGTTCACACACATTTAAAAAAATATTTATTTTCCCCCCAGCATGTTGTTATCAAACTGTTATAAACTGTTATTGTGCATAAAATGAAAGTCAATGGGGTCAGAAACAACACTGCACTATTGATCTGTATTGTATGAATAAAAAAAATAATCAAAATATCTTCTTTTGTGTTTTACAGATAAAATATATAAAAAGGCATATAGGCCTTTTTATAGGCATATGGAAAGATATGAGGGGCGAGTAAATGATGACAGTATTTGAATTTTTGGGTAAACCACCCTGTTAAAAGTTTAAAAGTTAATCCTGTATTCACACATGCACATTCCTCACCTTGTAACTTGGCGTTGAGTGAGGGGTAAATCGGGGGCATATCTATGGCAGTGTGGTCGAGTTTGCTGGGGGTTTTGGAGGAGTCTGTCAGAATGAGACTGCTGTCATGGAGATCTGGTCCACGCAGGTTCAGCAGATTATTGGCTTGCTCTGGGTCACAGTAGGGGTCATAAAGATCAGGATCAGGGTCATGGATGGCCATCTTGCTGCTGTTTCGCAAGTTGTCCATATCCTCACTGTACTGGCTCTCCGTGTGAGATAGACCTGGCTGAATTGGACGGGCCAACGATAAACTAGCCTCTCTTCAAATAAATAAAAAAATACAAACAGGGGAAGACAGGTTAACAGGTGAAACAACAGTTATACTGTAATTAGCTGCTTAGATTTAGAATTATTTGTATATTCTGAGCAGTGTTATTTTATTATCAATAATATATACTATAGTTTTTATTAATTTTGAAGGCCTATTTATTTTTTTCATTTCTGTTTTCATTTTAGTCAGTAATTTTGTTGCGTGTTTTTGTTATTGCTATTAGTTGTATATATATATATATATATATATGTGTGTGTGTGTGTGTGTTTATATACATGAATATATATATATATATAAAGTTTTATTTATTTTTATTTCTATTTTAGTTTTATTAATATTCATTAAAAGTAAAACTGATTTATTTCAGTTTAGATAATTCTTGTAAATGATTCACTGAACAAAATAATGAGTCACTGATTCAAATCAATACATCAAGTTCCTATGCTGTTCCAAACGAACACAGATGCACAAATATAGCACACTCACTTTCTAGCTTGATGCTGTCGACTCCTATCCCTCCTTCCATCTCCATCCCCATGGTTTCCATGGCGATGCCTCCTCTGCCTCTTCTCTTGGCCCTCCTCCCCTTCTCTTCCTGTCTCTCCTCTGCTGTGGTGTTCTCTGTGTCTTCTCCCTCTTTCTGCTCCATCTTCATCCCTCCTTCGGTGCTGGTGGTGCCTGGGCCGCCTGTGCTCGCCTGCGCCCTCCACGTCCTCGCCTGCTCTCTGGACATATTCGCACCCCGCCTCCCCCTGCTCTGGGTGGTGTAGGGACTGGCGGCTGGAGTGGGTGTGGTGGTGGTGGTGATGATGATGACTGTGATGATGGTGGTATCGGGGCTGGTGCTGCAAGTATTCTTCACCCCTCTGCTGGTTCAGCTCCTGGGGGTTTGGTTCACCCGGTCGGGGCTTGTTGGTATTGTTGTTGCGGTTCTCCTGAGGATTAACAACTAGTGGGCGGTCCAAGTGGGTCTTCATGTCAGGACGGTTGCGGTAGTTCATCTAGAGATACAAAAAGTAGATTTGATCAACTCAAAAATGTTACTTTCCAAAGAAAAAAGAGTGGTAAACATTAAATCAAAATTGACCCATTTAATATGTTTTATTGTGAACTGGGAAAGCACCGATATTAGAATAATGGTCAATATGAAATAATTATTTACATATACAGTTAAAATTCTATAATAATAATAATTTGTTGCATTTATATAGCACTTTTCTGGGTACTCGCTTTACATGGAAGGGGGAATCTCCTCAACCACCACCAGTGTGCAGCATCCACCTGGATAATGCGACGGCAGCCATATTGCACCAGAACACCCACCACACACCAGCTTATTGGTGGAGAGGACACATGATGAAGTATATGGGGATGTATATGGGGAGGCCATGATTAACAGGGCAAATTTGGCCATTTTTTGTTGCGGAAATCGTATAACGGTTTTTCAGGATTCTTTGATGAATAGAAAGTTCAAAAGAACAGTATTTATTTGAAGTTGAATTGTATAACAATGTTAAAATCAATCAAATGAATGCATCCTTGCTGAATAAAAATTTAACAATTGAATAATTGAATGAAACTCTACTTCTTTCTAAAAACAAAAACGTCATCACCACAAAATCATCACTCTTCGTTCGAGATCTATGAATTGTCTCTGACCTTCCAGTGATCTTCTGCGTCAAGTTCATTGTAAAGTGCCTCTCTGCTGGTCATCAGGTTCTGTCTGCGAATCTCGCTTGTGCGCTGCTCCCACACTGACTTAGAACCTTTCGAGTTCTTCTGCTGCTCTTTACTACAGAGTGAAGAAATAGAGACAGACAGAAACAGAGAATTATTTTAAACAAGGGAGGAAGAAAATCCTTAGTTTTCCTCCCCTAAAGCACCTATGAGTAATGACCCAGGGTGGAAGGAAATGATAGTGTCCCTTAGTCCCCAGCAAGAGAACATGGATGTGGCTCATGAATTCTGTGAAGGGGAGGGGGGTTGGAGGGGGGGAGACATACTGAAAAATAGCATTGGGCACTGAGACATGTTCAGACAGACTGAGAGAGGAAGGCAGAGATGGATCGAGACCAAAACAGCGTTACAAGCAGCCCTGTGCTTGCAGTGCTGCTGTGGAGGAGGCAGTGTGTGTCATCACAGCCAATGATACCTCAGCCTCAGTGTTACAACACAAGACTGCAGCTACAGCAGCAGGTAACATAAAAAAAAAAAAACACCCATACAAAACATGAGGAAGGCGGAAAGCAAAAGAAAAAGGGATACAGAACAAAAAAATGAGTAAGTAAATAAATAAATACCAGTCCAGTAAACTGTCTGTGGCATCGATACGCTCAGATTTTACTGTAACTCTGAGGAGAGGGGGGTGAAACAAGGAACATAAAAACAACGCTGCCACAACTATCACAGAAACAGCTGACAAAGCGAACAGGCCTCACAGGGTCCCGTTCACTGAAGGTAACTTGTTTGGTTTGTCAAACGTGCTTAGGGATGACTTGGCATAAACCAGGAATTTCTCGCTTTAAACCTGCTTGCTGGCAGACTAGCTATTCCAAGGTCCTGGTTTATTCCAAGTTATCCTTAAACTTATCTGACTAACCACAGTCAAGTTATTAACATATTTATTTACTAAACAAAAATAAATAGACTAAATGTATATTTTCACTATAAATGTGTAACCATGTCCTAATCAGACACAATACAGTGACGACAGTAAAATCTCATTGGTCTTAAATCAAATATGCTCTGCTTGATTGTTTCACGATGTTCAGCGTTTTTACTTTCAGTGTGGAAAGAGAAATTTTTTAGCACTGAAAACTTGTCGCATCATGCCAGGTTAGGTCATAGTGTAAGTGTTAGTTAATTATAACATACACACATACACGCACATACAAAAAAAATGAAAACATTATTGACCATTTTTAGTGACTGAATAAAGAATTTAATGAGGAACCAAACACCTAGAAAAACCCACGTCACAAACAGATACCACACATAAAACTGTAGTTTAACAGCAAATTTAACTCATAATATGTGTTCTGAGGCATGCCTTCAAAAGACTTATATATAGTCATTTGCATTTTCATGGTATTTTTCTTTCTTGGTATTATTTTGGGGGTAAAATATTTATATTTTTGTGTTCTTTGCAATAAAGCAAAGTCATATGGATTTGGAACAACATTAAGTAAAGTAAATTACAAATATTTGGGTGAACTATCCCCTAACAATAAAAAGAAATGGTCCTTAAGGGTGTTTTATACTATATGATCAAGCAGGTTTAAGCAAGTCTGCTGGAAAGTGAATTAGAGTGGATTTACTCAAACAAGATGATAAAGTTAAGCTGACAGGCTAAGCTAAACTCAGCTAAGCTAGGCTTTAAGCATTTAAACTAGCTTACGGTACCAGATCAAATTCCATCAGACAAGGCCTCTAACAGTAATAAAGTTAAAGTGCACTATATTATGTCAGTTTGTGTAAAGTGTATTTTTTAAGACTCATTTGCATATATTCATATTCATGGTATTTGTGTGTCATTGAGTGTCAGAGGTGTCTTGTAAGAATTTCACCTTTTGATCATGAATATTTATGAAAAACTGGGCATGGCTTCATTGCTATGGCGTGTGTGTATCTTTAACCAAGCTATTACTTTTGGGCACAACATTGGCAAAATTTGCCCCCTGAATTTTGATTTTTCGATCCACGGCAGTCATTATTTTTGCAATTCACTTTCAAGAAAAATAGAAGTCAAAAGAAACATACCCATATAGGCTGCTAGGTAAATTTGTGTGTGTGTCCGTATTTGTACAGGTGTGGATTTTTAGTGTGTGGAGTAACTCACGCAGAAATAGAGAGGTTGGCAGCAGACAGTGGGCTCACTTCTGCCACTTCTTTTGCTTTCTGAAGAGCAAGCTTTTGTGATGTGGCCTCCTCTTCTTGTTGTTCATCCTAGATAATAAAAAAATAAAATGAAACATACATATATAAAAATAAGCAAAATTGTATGGGGAGAAATGTCCATGAATGGTGAATCTGAGACAGAGAAATTGTGTTTAACCTTAGTTAGTTCCTGAGCATTGGCCAGGTTGTCCACAGCGATAGCCAAGAATACATTCAGTAGTGTGTCTGAGAGGACAGGGTTAAGAAACAACAGACAGGACTTGTGTTTTACATAGTTTGTCATAGACACTGTGTCAGATTTCACTTATCATGTGATGAGAGTAAAGAGGGATGACTGACAAGACAATGGCAGATTTAGTGCATAACAGATCCTACTTGTGACATCCCTAATCCAAAGTTCAGTAACAAATATTCCACTACAATTACTGCCAATTCATCAATTCACATCATGTAGGTAGATTTAAAAAAAGTTCTATAAATATTTATTTTAGGGCTGAGCAAAAATTAATTGCGATTAATCGCATCCAAAATAAAAGTCTGTGTTTACATAATATATTTGTGTGTGCTGTATATCATTATTTTGTATAAATAAATACACACACATGCATGTATATATTTAAGAAAATGTGTTATTCATATATAAAATATTTATATTTATATAATATAGATTATGTATTTATATATATACAGAATTTAAGCACAAATAATTCTTAAATATATACATGCATGCATAGGTATTTATATATACAAAATAATTATATACAGCGCACACAAATATATTATGTAAACACAGACTTTTATTTTGGATGCGATTAATCGCAATTCATTTTTGCACAGCCCTAATTTATTTCAAATAAAATGTTTATTTCAAATAAAATCCAGCACTTTCTACTTACTAAATATTCCTGAAAAAAAAAAAAAACTGATTATGGTAAATAATAAAAGCATGAACTGTTTTCAACATTGGGATCATGTGACACTGAAGACAGGAGTTATGGCAGTGGAAAATTCAGCTTTGTCATCACAGATGTAAATAACATTTTAAAATAAATTACAATAATAATACACAATATTGCTGATTTCACAGTATTTTTTATTAAATAAATGCGTACATGGTGATGAGTTTTTTCAAAACATAAAAACGCACCAACCCGTTATGTAGTAACGAAAATGCTTGTGTGTTTGTATGTGATTAAGAAGGATACAGTTGCCAAAGAGTGTGAGGACAATGAAGAATACGGAGAAGATCATTCCTTTGTCCACCCCTCCCTGAGACTTAATGCCATCATACATCACCACGTTCCAATCCTCTCCTGTTAGAATCTATATAAACATATATATGCTTTATTAACAGGTGCTCTTGAAACACACAAACATGGTCTATTTTATCACAGAAATTGTAAGTTCTTTTAGGAATAATTAACTATTATTATATCTGTACATGCCTTAGAATGCTCTATATGTGCTAACATAACCTACCTGAAACACTGTCATAATGGCAGCAGGAAAAGTATCAAAGTTTGTGGGAGGAGTGCCTTGCTCAAAGTTAAACCTGGCAAGAAAAACATCAAATGGACTTTTACAATGATAACAGGCTATGCATAATAATTGATTGTATCTGACTGAGAAACTGATTAAGAGAGTTGGCAGCGAAATGTAGATCTATACTGACTGTCCACCGAACAGCTGCATGCCGAGAAGAGCAAAGACCACGATGAAGAGGAAGAGAAGGAAAAGTAAACTGATAATGGACTTCATGGAGTTCAGAAGAGACACTACCAGATTACGCAAAGACGCCCAGTATCTGAAAAAGACAGAGAGACAGAGGAAGAAATATAGTAAAACACTAAAATTCTAACATCATTTATTGCCCTGACATTGCTTCAAACACAAGATTGACAAATGGCTTAAATTCCAGTATTTTCTTCAGACAAATCCATCATATGCCTTTAGAAGATGTGAAAATATAGTATTTGGACTACTGCTTTGGTGCTTGAAAGCCCCAGTTTCCAATGACTTTCATTGTATGGAAAAGAGCATGATCTCTTTTTAGTATTCCATGTTGAAAGAAGTCTGGAGACGTGAGGATGAGAAAACTATTTTTGCTACCGAAGACATGAAAAACCAGCAGTGCAATCTTGTTCTTGGTTCAAATCTCAAGAGGGGGACAACACAAAAACCAACAAAATGATGGGTGATGGACGACTCAAGAGATTGAATGAAAGCAACAGAACGCACTTGGTGACTTTGAAGATCCTAAGTAGTCGGAGAGCTCGTAACACGCTGATTCCAAAGGACGCCCCTGGCTTGACCATGGCCCAGAACACCTCAAATATGCTGCCAACGATGACCTGAAACACGTACACAGTTACACAAATAAGGAACTGGGACTGGCTAACAAGGACTTAAGTCTGCATCTAATGTAGGTCAGCGGCGTGTGGAGGTTAAAAACAGAGGCAGAGATAAAAATTACAAAAAAGCGAGAGGGGGAGAAAGTAAGACTTTAAATGGGCCAAGAGAGAAGGGCACTCACGATACAGTCGAAACAGTTGAATGAGGAGTGGAAATAAGGGCGCGTCCCCAGTCCGTACATCTTAATCAGCATCTCTGACATAAAGAGGCCTAGGAAAATGAACTCAGCATAATCTGGAAAAAAAGAGAAAGAGAGATAAGACAGAAAGTGGGATAATAGGAAACAGAGGCGAATAAGGAGTTGACAGGAAACCGAAAACTATTTGATAGAGCCCGACCGATAAAGGATTTTGAAGGCCGATAACCGATACAAGTATTTTTTTGGTTTTAAAATCCGATATTCCGATATATCGGTTGATATATTTTTTTGTTTTTTATTTCAGAAACGCGCAACAAAACTTTAACAGATTTCCCTAACATTAGTTATTTTTAGTTATGTATGAGTTTTAACAAAAATAATATGATAATGCATTTTAAAAAGAAACTTGTTTCTTTTATTGTCACAACAGAACAGGCTGATGATAGTGGCATTAGCTATATTTGTGGTTAACTAGTCTATGATGAGCCATAATTTAGCAATGGATAACGTCATACTGCAAATTGTAAAACATACATTTTCAATATGTCACGCGCTATTAAAGAAATACCTCAGTCACATTGTCAAAAGTTAAAAGGACAGTCAGTCAACTACACTGTAACAACGTAACGTAACTATTACTAGCTAATTCCGCTTCACTTTCGGCTTATTTAACAGCTGCAAAACTGGACATGATAGTCAGAAATTTTGTTCAGAAAACTGATGGGGATGTTCTTTTAATTGTTATTCCAGCAATGTGTCAATGTAGTGACCAACTCAACGATGTAGAACGGTGTAGAACTATACAACTCCAACGCTCATGACATGGTTGAAGCGTGTTTCGTCCGTTTTTATTTTGTTTTTGAAATATTAATTTATCGGCCATTATAACTGCCGATACCGATCATTTGGAAAATGCCTAATATCGGCCGATAATATCGGCCTGCCGATATATCGGTCTAGCTCTACTATTTGAGGAGTGAAATGGACAATGGGACATAATGCTGGCCAGATTCAAAAATAGGTCTGCCATGATAACAAATGTACAAACAAACAACTCACAGAGGAAGTCTGACAGTAGCTCGGGCTGATCGTAGTGTACGACGGCCACGCACAGTGTGTTGAGTCCCACCAGGCTGAGGACGGTCCAGTAGAACGTCTGAGTCTTTACGATCTTTCGAATAAAGAAGCGAAGACGGCGCTCTTTCTTGTTAAACGGAGTTCCGTCACCCTTCCCGCTCTTTATGCTCGCACGAGCAAAGGGCGACCCTGAGAACATACGCACATAACATTGTGACAACATCCAGATCACTTCCTCTGCGTTACAAATTAAAGAAACATTAAATAATCGTATGATCTGAATGATTCTTACCAACTGCATCTCCCATGTGGTCCTCTCCTTCTTCTGGATTTAAAAGGTCAGCTTTGTTTTTCTTTAATGTGGGCCTGCGACGAGATCCTGTGCAAAAACACATTCAGGGAGTGTGAATTATTACTGCATTTTTAAATTCCGTGACTTTGTTTAGCATGCACAAAACAGGAACATTCATACTGTCACCGGGGCCAATGTCATCCTCAGCGAGTATGACCTCCTCTGAAAAAAGAGACAGAGTATTGAAAAATGCTTGATGCATATCAAATTTGTATTTTTACATGCATTTTATTTATGCAGAAACGTCCAAACTAGTAAAAACTAATGGTTGCATTCTGCAGATAATTCAGGACATGAATTTATATCTATACATTTGTTTATGCACAGACCTGCTTTGCAGATCCATTCCAGATATCCATTGAGTTCTCTCTCTATCTGCTGCTGACGTTTGAGCTTGAGGAACTCGCTCCTGTTCTCCACACGCTCTCTTTCTTTGGCAAACTCGCTGCGGGGAAACCAGAAAAAATAAAAAAGATGCCAATATAGTTAGCAACTTATTAATCAAAAACAAATATAGGAATATTTTATACAAATGATGGATGGATGGAACAATAGACAGACACAATAGAACAATAAATAGGTAGTATAACTGATAGAACAATAGACCAATACACAGATAGAATGACAGACAGACAGACATAGATATAAATAGACAGTTTAGATTAATAAAAGAACAATCAATAGACAGATTGATAGCTGACACACAAGATGGATAGATGGAAAGATAGATATTACCCTGAAAGGACACCCAACACCAGATTAAGCATAAAGAAGGATCCTATGATGATGAGGGGAACATAGTACATCCAGTTCCATGCACTCCCTAAGGCATCATTGCTCTGTAACACACAAATATTTATCAAATATTGTCATCTAGATCAATTTTTAAAAAAATGGAATCAGTGTTAAATCATTGGCTTTTACTCTTACGTAATAAAGCATGTCCGTCCAACCCTCCATGGTAATGCACTGGAAAACAGTGAGCACGGCAAAAAGGACATTGTCGAACTGTGTGATGCCATAGTTTGGCCCGATCCAGTATCCCATACAACTCGACCATTCCGGACAGCTTCGAGCACCACAGGGCTGTTCGTCAAAAATCTCATCTGAATAATGTAAATGCACAGGTTTTGGTAGAGGCATACAACTCAAAGGTCAACTGATTTTCTTTCGTCTATGAGAAAAGCTCACGTGTGACATTGTCGTAGCATGTTTCGTGGAATTTGCCCATGTAGAACTCCAGGCCAATAATGGCAAACATAAGGATGGCCACAAATAAGAGCACGCCAATTTGCAAAAGTGGAATCATGGCCTTCATGATGGACTTCAGCACCACCTGCAGGCCTGGAGAGTAATGACATTATTGCATGTTGCACAAGCCCCTTTTCCACCAAAGCATTTTGAGAGCCGGTTCGGAGCCGGTGCCTGCGCGCGAACCAGTTCTTTGTGTTTCGACAGCCAAAGAACCGGTTCTCGGCTGGGAAAACTGGTTGCTGGACTAGAACCGTTCTTTTACCACGTCATGCTAACGTCTGGGTCTGAGGCGGGTTTAGATGTGTTCTAAACATCTTTTCTGATCATAATATAGGATCGCAAATCCAGGAGAAACATTTGCAGAAACACGATGGAGTCCGCCTTTGTACTTGTTATGCTTGAAGTTGGCGCAAGCATTTCTATTTTTTTTTTTTATTGAAAACATTATAAGCGAAGAAGAAAACAGTCACAATATAGAACAAATAAATGGAAAGAAAAAAAGACACAAGTCAGGGGTACATACCTTATCAGAAAAGATTACATACCAAACGGAAATATTAAAAGACTTACATATTTCATTGTTTTTAAAGCCTTCTTGGTATACGAGTTAGAGATAATCCCAAGGTAATGTTGTACTTGCAAGCGTTTCTAGCTAAGACGTATGGCGACGTACACAGTGACGTAACTACGTCGTTTCCTGGGCGCTCCAATCAATGGAAAAACAAACAGGTTCGCAAGTTGAACCAACTCCGAACCAACTTTGAACCAGCACCATTTCCGAACCAGTTCTTTTTGGGTGGAAAAGGGGTAACAGAGAGCTTTGTTAGACATTGATCAATGCAGACAGAAAAAACGCTCACTTGGAATTCCTGACACCAATTTTAGTGGCCGCAACACTCTGACTGCTCGCAATGTCCGTAGGTCTAATTCTGACCCCACGGAGGACAGGATACTGGAAAACAGAGAGAGAAAAAAAAAACATTTAATGTCTGTTCATTTAACCTTACAGATTTAATCTACTTTCTGCTCTTCCATTCGTATTCAGTCATCTGTTTATCAGGATTTTTTTTCTTTTTCAAATTACGACTTCTTCACATCTCTTTCAAAGGGAAGTTTTGTCATATTATCTCATTTATGGGGGGAAATTTGGACCCAAACAATATACAGTCACATGCATGCACGGGCACGCTAACCTGAGAAGAGGTCAATAGCAGGTAAATAATTGATCACACACTACTCTGTTCTCACATCACACACTGGTCTGATCATCTGATCTTTAAAGGCCCACTGAAGTGCCTTGAAATGCGCAGCATTATTCAATCTGTTGATGTAATTTCCACTGAAACAGCAGGACAGGACATATTGAACAGCTCCTCCCCTTTTTAAAGTTTAGTTTATATCACAGACTACATCTGTAGTCAACAGAAAAAAGTTATAGTTGAGCCATGACACTGAATGTAGCCCTCCTTGCTCTTTTTCCAACACATTTTCACTCCCTTCTGCTGTTGCCTGTATATGCAGCGATGCCAATGTTGCTAAGAGCTCATTCATTAGTGGTTATGATCTAGAGCGCCAGCCACTGGCTCAGTCAATAGGCCTTTAACTGCTCTGCCATCACATGCAGCAAACACCTACGTAAGCTAAAAGAAAAGAGAGAGAATGGTTGGATGGATGGACTTAAGCGAGACTGGACAGAATGCAGCAAACTTGTCTCCAGACTCATTCTCTAATGTCTTCTGCTTTTTCAGCTCTTCCTGTTAAGCCATTCAATTGGCAAGAACATTGTGACTAATTCAATCAACGATCTGAATCATATTAGTTCGTTTGTGATGTCACATGGTGCAATAATGTTTTGAGAATGAGGATGAGATGGCGCCATCTCTATATAATAAGCGTATAGGATCTGTCTCGAATATTCGCAACCAAACCTAAATTGAAAACCTGATCACAGATCAGCAGGCGGTGCCCTCTTTGAGCAAACCCAGCTGAGATATTTGGATGAAACGGTCAGTAATTCATTTACATGCTGTATATCTGCTGTCTCACGTAACAAATAACACCTATTTATGACCCATCTCGTGTGATTCAATAAGCCTGAGACAGATGCAAATCTACATTCAACACTTAAAGGACGGATCTGAGATCAGGACTAAAGTGCTTCAGCTGCTGATATAAGATCACTTTACACTTCATTTTTGTGGAACAGTGAATACTTAGATGTGGGAAGGAATAAACTGCCTCTAGGTCAGGCGGTGAAGAACACTTTATGTACAGTAATTGCAGGATAGTCAGGATAACAGAGCACCACTGACAGCGCTCATATCCTACTACACACTAAAAGGCCTGCGGTATTTTTGATGGAAGAGTGGACTGACGTGTATGTGTGTGTGTGTGTTAGAAGGAGGAGTGTGTGCAAGTCTGAGACAGATGGAGAGGGGAAAAGAGTATGTATGTGCAAAAGTTTGAAAAGAAAGGCTGTAGCCCCTGCGCTCAGGTTAGAGTAGAAGATCGAGCCTGTCCAAACCTATTTGGCTGATAAGAACTCTCTGTTGTGAGCTGTCAAAGAAAGTGCCTTTCATAGGATGTTATTTTATTATCATGTTATTTTGAACACAACACTAACACTACTGGCCAATACTGTAATAGGGACAATTTATGATTGGTAAATAATAAAAAAAAAAACATATGTGAGTATATAGTGGTTGGCCATTGAAAAACATGATTCTAGGGTATTGTGGGTGTGGTTGCTAATATGTTCGGAGTGGTTTTTAGCATATTGCTATTTGGTTGCTAGGTGGATGCTTCTTGGTCCAATCAAAAAAGCCAATGACAACCCATATCCAGTGATATATAAGGCAGCTAGCTGTAAATGTCATACTTAAAGTATCTTACTCAGCAAGATTACCTTTAAACTGTTGCTCTAAATAACTAGTTATAGGATCCATACTGGCAGCACTCAGAATACAACAACCTAGCATTCAAGTTCACTTCAGTGTTATTTTAGTATCCTAAAGATATTATTATTAGTTTTTGGATAAATTCTTATTTTTATATTTTCCATTCTCATTTTAATTTCAGTTAATGTTTTACTGTGTTTTGAGATTTTGTATATATATATATATATATATATATATATATATATACAGTATGTTTATATAGTTTTTAATCATTTTTTTCTGTTTAATTGTGAGCTATTTTAGTACACAAAATATACATTTTATTTTAATTCACTAAATCTCCATTTTATCGAGTATTTTTTAAATGATTTTGGTTAACTATAATAACCCTGCTTCACGTATTTGAGCATTTTTTCGATCGCTAATAAGCTTAACTTTATTTGAACATTCATTCAGAAAGTTACATTTGGTAAACTTAAACACATTAGTGTATTTGCTTTCATTCAGATTACACTTGTGCTCACCTCACAGAACACGTGACTGTGTCCTGCTCACTCAGAATTATTCTAGAATATTTATAAATATTTTTAACATGATAAACTGAAAAAAAGTACCGTTAACGTTATAATACATACATATGTGTCGGGTTTTTTTTTTTTTAATAAAGTAAAATTTCACTTCATGTTCATTAAATTAGTTACGATACTTTGCAGCCTTTAGCTGCTGCCTACAATGCTCTGGATCCTTCAACCTGGAAGCAACTCACTCCCGAGTTTGCTAAGAAGTATTTGCTACTTAAGCAATGTATTATTTGACTCAGCTCAAGCGTATTCATATCAGACTGATAGGAGTGGCCGTAGGGCAGCTGTTGAGGTTTCCCTATCGATTTGGCAAATGGGAAGTCAATAGTTTTCTCTGTTTTCTATAGTTTTGGTAGCACCGATTTCAACATTTTCTTTGCCTTTCTACTGTGTATAGGCAGGCAAGTTTTATTGAATGCCCATTTTTCCAGCGGTGAACTGCCAAATAAGTCTCTGTTTTTCTCTCAGTGTTTCATGAGGTAGTCACTGCCCTCTCTCTCAGCACCAGTGGGAGAGTCCCGTGGAGGGAATAAAGTGTGATTTGGGACACACTGGTGAAAAAAGATTGAAAGACACACAGTTAGCCCTGAGAATGACAGAGCAACAGAGAGAGAGGTAAAGAGAAAGAGAAAGCCTCCCGGCCCCAGGGAGAGGACAATGACAAGGTGAGATGGAGGAAGGGAGTGAGGGATTCACAGGAGCGTCAAGGCCTTCGTCTGCTGGGGAAAACCTGACAATCAATCAAAGCACACACATTTAAGAAAGGACTTTCTCTGTTTTACTTTTTCTCCCAGCACCAGTTTATCACTCATTCTCTCCTCTATTGCACTGTAGGTGTTGTGTTTGTAACGTAACTTACACAAAATAATCTGAAAATTAGCACCCTTGAAAGACATATCACTACCCACATATGAAAAATTATTGAATGATTTTCTGATTTGGAGAAAGGGCGTGGCTAAGTCTGGTAGAAGTTAGTTAAATGGAAATACAGTTTATTTGTGTATGTATGCTTTAAGAATGTTTCTAAGAATAGATTCTGTGTTGTTTTGCTCATTTCCTTTAAAAAAAAAATGAAGATGTGGATGACGATCGTGGAAGTCTCTCTCCAACATCACGCCACCAGGTCTCTCCCCATTCACGGCATCACCATAGCAACCGGCGATTCCTCTTTTACGGAGTCTCCACGGTTACCAGCCTTCTCTCATTCATAACCGTTGCCACGGCAACGGGCCCTCTGTCATTGATGGAATCTCGGTATTGCCGCAGCAACCAGGCCAGGAGTGAGAGATAAAGTGTCCCCTTTCGATTGATCTCCCTTCCCTCCCCCTTTTATATGATGAGAATTCACTGGCTGACCACAGTGTCATTCTTATCCACAGTTTAACCATTGACTACATACAGTCCACCTCATTAGCACGTCCTCTACATGTTGCCGGCACCAGAAAACAGCTGGTTCCTGCAACAAAACGGCGCAGGAATCCTCCAGCTTTTCGTTCGTGCTGAATGTAGGTCATCCAGATATGCAGCCGAACTCTACATTATTCAATGCTGTACACTCAGGCCGGGGCATCTGGGAATACAGTGCATTTGTGCGGTATGTGAGGGTGTTTGTTTAGGGAGTGCGACAAGGATCTGGTATCACAATCTATTTTCTCGTACCAAAGTTTGTATAATAGGCCTCTTGTTAGTGGTGGAATAGGTTTCTTCTTTGTTAACTTCTCATATCGGGCTTCTGTGTGAGAGTGTGATCTGATCAGCATGGCGACAGACTGCTGGAAGAGTCCATTTTCACCACTGGGAAGATGATATAACTTAATTCCTTAAAAATTGACTTAGCTTCCTTTCTTATAGTCTCTTAGTCATTGATAAAGCTGATATCCCTCTTATAATTGCTCACACTTAAGGTTATGGATTTAGATTAGCCTTTAACTCTCAGCATTACAGCTGCGTGCATAACTTGACCTGCACTGTTTGTGCTACAGACATGAACGATAGATAAACCATGTTGTTAAAAGTGTCCGAAATTAACTTTTAATTTAAGCTTTTAACTCAAGTTTTTGGGCAAAGGTACAAAAATGCACCAGAAAATTTAAAACGTGGGGGCATTATTGTTGCCCCTTGTGTGTATCAGTCTACTTTTATTTTTAGGAAAATTTTCTTTAGGAAATGAAAACTTCTATTGCACAAGGATGCATTCAACTCATAAAAAAGTGACAGTGTATGGATTGAAATGTAATCTATTATGATTATTTCTATTTTAAATAAATTCTGCTCTTTTAAACCTTCTATTTAAAGAATCCTGAAAGATGGTATCCACTATGGATGTCAAGATTCCTCAATTAAATTCAAGTACTGTTGCAACTGTTATCATTTATACTGTATGCACTGAGCATGTCTAAAACATCATCTCTGCATATGCTGTGAGTTTGGTTTGCTTATGACGTTCATTTGGGAACGCAATGTGCACAATTTCA